TAGACTGGTGCTTGATCAGCAGTTGAATAATGCAGGTAAAATGGTCTCTGAGTACACTGAGAGGGAGAGTGCAGGAAGTAAAAGCCAAAGTCAGAGGGAATTCATGACGATATTTATCAAACATCAACAGAGTTTGGCTCTTGTTTTGAGTGATGAAACCTGCAGCTTCAGGATCTGTGAGCTGTCGGGTTTCAGCACCAACAGCATGTCTTGAGTACGTGCCGTCGGGAGAACGATCCACGCTTTGTGTTTAGGAATCAGTTTGCCTGCTCTGTAATCATTTTATCTGTTTTACCTGTTTAGTGTTGCTGAAATTCTGATATTTCCATGGAAACCACACGTTTATATTTAAGTAACAGATCACCTCGAGTCCCAGGGCACTGGGGTTCAACAGGTTAATTTTGTTATTGTTAATGACTTTGTGTAGTATGAATAGCCATGAGGGAGGTTTTCATCTGTAGTAAAAGCTGTAAAACGTATAAAAATACAGTCCAAACCCTTTTCTTGCGCTTGTTTGCGGTGTATGGGTGAGCAGCAGATCAAACACGTTAAGAATAATAAATGACTTGAAGCACATTCAGGTCTGTGAGACTCACTCAGAGATGGTGTCACGGCGAGTAGAGTGAGCCATGTGGAAGAAAAAAAGGAGGATCCAAACACAGGCAGTCGTGAAGGAGTGAAGGTGATTTATTGAATACAAAGCTCAGGGAGAAAATGGCAAATGAAGATAAACTAAACTACTGAGCATGAACAAAAACGCGAACATGAATATTCAATTCAATCCAATCCAATCAATCGATCTTTATTCGTCACATGCAGGTTGCCCTGCAGTGAAATGGAAACCCCCCCCCAGACCTTACACACACAACACAGACATCACATGGGGATACAGGTCGGAGATCGGTCGCATTACAGAAAAACAGTGAAATGTACACTACAATGGGAAAGTACAAGAGGAAAGACAGAGACCTCTACTCATGCTGGGCTACAGGAGGACAGCATGAGAGCAGGAAACAAAAACTCCTCTGCACAGAAAAGCACATAAATGTCCACAGTACAACATTATGAAAGACTTGACAAGCCACAGGGTTGGGTGGTTGGTGAGGAGTAATACGAAGCGAACTCAGCAGCCGCCCTGCACAGCGGTATCATTCCAGCGCAGCACACAGACCCGCCGTGTTCCCAGGAGGGAACAAGTATCGAAGGCGTTTGGAAAGGCAGGGGGATCAGTGTGTGCATATCAGTATGTGTGTATGTGTGTGCGTGTCCAGAGTCAAGCTGAGACAGTGTCCTTCGCCCTAAGTAAAACAGTCTTCCAGCCAACTCAGGTGGCCTTGCATAGGATGGGAGGAACAGTCACAACACAGTCGTTATCAGGGAGTTTTTGTTCGGCTCCAGCCTTGAGCCCACAGCTGGCGCCGAAGGGGTAGCTGCATGAAGTGATGGTGGTTTTTTCTTTTATGCAAACAACTCATGAGAATTTCAGAGCTGTTCTTTAACACTCCAACACCGACATAGGTCTCTCAATTTCCCGTTGGAGAGCTGCGAGCTTTTCCATGATGTTATCAAGCTTGCGTTCCGTGGTGTTGTCATTCTTGTGCCCAAGGAGCCGATTCTGAGACCTCACGACCACAGTGAGGTCTCAGAAATTTTTTTTTTTTTCTGCCTGTTCCATTTGGTTCTTTAGCCATCAGAATTGTTGTCTGAAGACCAACAAGGATACCCAATGGATTTACTTTGCCAAATGGATCATCGTGGCATTGCCGTATTGGTCCATTTGGTCGATCTTTGTTTTTATTATTTATTATATTTTATTTCCAGATGTTACAGACGGGACAGACATGAGTGAGGGATAGGAAAGGGAGAAAGAAAGAGGAAGGAAAGGAAAAACAGAAGGGGAGAGGGACAGTGAGAAAGGGGGGGAGAAAAAAAATAAAAATCTCCTGGATCACCTGTTGAGAGAAGAATAGAAAACAAGCAAAAAAACCAAAAAAAAAACAAAGCAACATACTAAACACAACACCATCGCATTAATCTAGCTAAGTGTAAACAGCAGTAAATACTAAATATTCAATGTTACAGTGAGCTGATCTAATATACGCTCAGAGGTGTTGGACTGAGTATTCACTGCAGCCGTGAGCTTGTCCAAGCTCTTAACCATGCTGCACTCAGTGGGCCCATTCTGAAAAGTCGCGCCTCGTCCCAGCGTTTCAATCCCAGCGGGCAGCCTTGGGGGGGTTTGAATAGCCGGTTCTGCTGTCTTAATTCTCCGATAAGTCAGGGCCAAGCCAGCTCCGATCAGTAAGAACCCTGTTATCATGGTTCCGAATAGGTAGATATCTTCAGCGTCCTCGATCGACAGTCCCACCAGGCACACGACCCTCCAGTTATGCCACCCGTCCATCGTGTATCCGGCAGGGAAAGTCCGTCCAGGGTACTCGGGCTCTCCCGACGCGGGGCTTCTCGTTGAGAAGAGCGTGTCAATTGCATTCAGAGACCAGTTGATCAAATCCATAATTCTCTTTTAGGCTTTAGAAACAGACTGTGAGAGAGTGTTCCAGGGAGAAATAAAAACACGAGACAAGACAAGGACATAAGAAGCTAAGCAGGGAAGATAAGGGAGAGGAGAGGAGAAAAAGTGCGACCGCCTTCGCTGAGAGCCAAACGAGAAGGGCAAGCAGAGGCAGACGACGGTAGACAGCAGGGAGACACACGAGTGGAACATGGTAGATACACAGACGGACCAGCAACTACAAGGACAGAAGACGCGACTTAACTTACCTGGACTGACCATACCGGCCATTTGCCCGGTGGGCTGATGAGTTTGTTTGGTTTTTTTGTAACGGCATGAACAATGAGAGGTGGTGGCTGACTGCCAGCTGACTGGATTTCATCATCAGCCAGTGTTGTTCTTTATCAATATTACCAACGTTTACCATAAGGCAGCATAGAAAGTATTTACTTGCTTTCAGGTTTTATTCAAATGTTAGTCTTTTCAGTAGTTTCCCCACTTTTTTCCTGTTTCAAAATCAAACACCAGTTTGTGAGAAGATTATCTTCTTTTTTTAACAGGCAGATAAAGTTTTACATTGGCATATTTGCCAATTGTATGTTAAAAATGTTCGTATTTTAATATTCAAAAATGTTTTTGCCCAAAACATATGTGCACTATATGTCAGTAAAAATACTATGCAAATATTGCTGTCCTTGAATGCTGAATAAACACTGACTGATTGTATCTCTTGTACTTTATCAACGCAGTATCTAAAAACTTTGCACCGTAGTGGTTAAAATCTCATTCTAATAAGAGTTAAAAGCACATTCGGTTATTAGGTTTACAGGGTTATTGAATTATGGTTAACAGTGGGTAGAATTGTTTTTAACATTATCAGCCAGTTACATCTGCCACCCTTCTCCAAATCTGTGCCCCTACCTGCCCCCCCCAACAAAAATTTCCTGACACGCCACTGTGCAGGCCTACTTGTTGTTCCTAGAGTATTTAAAAGTAGAATGGGAGGCAGAGCCTTCAGTTTTCAGGCCCCTCTTCTGTGGAACCAGCTTCCAGTTTGGATTCAGGAGACAGACACTATCTCTACTTTCAAGATTAGGCTTCAAACTTTCCTTTTTGCTAAACCATATAGTTAGGGCTGGACCAGGTGACCCTGAATCCTCCCTTAGTTATGCTGCAATAGACGTAGGCTGCCGGGGATTCCCATGATGCATTGAGTTTTTCCTTTCCTGTCACGGGTTGCTCTGAGGATCCACTCGCAGGACTCCGGAGTTGTGTTTTAACAGAGATGGTTTATTTACAAGATCTTCACCAAGTGTATTAACAGACAGTGCGAGGATAGTGCTATATACAAGATGTGAGAGGCAGGGTTCCAGGGAAAACAAGGGAATCACACACGCGCGCACTCCAACCTCTCTCTCTGCTAGTAAATGGTAAATGGCCTGCATTTGTATAGCGCTTTTCTAGTCCATAGGACCCCAAAGCACTTTACACTACATTCAGTCATCCACACATTCACACACTGGTGATGGCAGCTACATTGTAGCCACAGCTGCCCTGGGGCGCACTGACAGAGGCGAGGCTGCCGGACACAGGCGCCACCGGGCCCTCTGACCACCACCAGTAGGCAAACACGGGGTTAGTATCTTGCCCAAGGATATTTGGCATGCAGCCAGGATGCAGCCTGGGATCGAACCACCGACCTTCTGATTAGTGGCTGACCTGCTCTGCCACCTGAGCTACAGCCACCCCTGTGACCAGTCACTCCTTCCACACTCCACACGGGGAAACATGGGGACAGGTCCGGGGAATCTAGAACACAGAGACTCACGTTAACTTTCTGAGACGGAAGCATGCGAAACTTGGGCTTGACGTGTACTGACTACAGTCTTCACAACAATCCAGCGTTGAACAGCTGATCTCCTCCTTCTAATATACCAGCTGGTCTGATGAGGCCCAGGTGTGCACGATCCGGGAAGGCGTGGACTGAGGGCGTGAACCCGCCATGAGTTCCTCCCCGGCAAAACAGGGGAGAAGGAGAGGAAAAAGAGAAGAGAAGGTGGGCTAGGAGTGAAGAGATGCTGATCAGCGCCTTGCCGATCCCGCAGGTCGTGACATTTCCAGTCACGTTTCTCACTCACTATGTGTTAACAGACCTCTCTGCATTGAATCATATCTGTTATTAACCTCTGTCTCTCTTCCACAGCATGTCTTTATCCTGTCTTCCTTCTCTCACCCCAACCAATCACAGCAGATGGCCCCGCCCCTCCCTGAGCCTGGTTCTGCCGGAGGTTTCTTCCTGTTAAAAGGGAGTTTTTCCTTCCCACTGTCGCCAAAGTGCTGCTCATAGGGGGTCATATGATTGTTGGGTTTTTCTCTGTTATTGTACGATCTACTGTACAATATAAATCGCCTTGGGGGCAACTGTTGTTGTGATTTGGCGCTATATAAATAAAATTGAATTGAATTGAATGTTAATCATATTTTGCAGGGCCATGCCAGGACAGAGGCAGGGCTGCTGGAGTTGGAAGCTCCTGGTCATCTTCAGCCTCCTCGGCCTCACTGAAGAGTTCGGTAAGAGACTTCCTCCTTATTCTGGTGACCTGTTCATGGTGTCCCCTGCCCTATGACAGCTGGGATAGGCTCCAGCGACCCTGATAAGGATAAACAGACCAGAATGGATGGATAGATGTCTATATTGTAACATCTTGGAGCTGACATCACTGGATGAGAATCCTGAATACTGCAACTAACATTCGGCTTCTCTTCAGAACATAATTTTTTATGATGGAGAAGCTGGATCGATTGTGAGAAAAGACGTTTAGAGTAAAATCCCTGATGCTCGCAGGTTCTTCACTAACATCAAACAAAGTTTAGAGTCTGGATCACTGTATCGTGTTCTGTTTGTTGCTGCTGTTTTATTTCATTGTTTGTTGCAGTAACTGGACCACAAGACATTTCTGATAGTCATGTTAACCACGCATGTTAATCAGGCCCATGGTGAGGATACAGTCTTTGTTCGGCTGGTTGGAGTGAAGTTCTCACCCTCGTGTTGAGCTGAGCTTCATAATGAAGCGTGTCGTGACCCGGAGCAAAGCTTACACTTGTTTCCCATCTTTATTTGTACAAGAAAGTTACAATTACATATCAGCAGTACACAAAGGTTAGATAAAACACAAATTTTGTATCACACTTCATTGATGGAAGCCACAGGAACAGCGTACAAAAACTCATTCAAGGCAGAAACCAGGAACTTACACACTAGGAACTACAAAGAAGCACGAGGCACGCAGCAACAAGAGACTCAGACAAAGTTGTTGCTCAATACCCAAGTAAGCAGGTCTGTGCTTGTGTTCTTGCTAGTTTGTACTTCAAACATTTGTACAGCAGTCCAGACTTTCCAAGAACAGGAGGACACCATCACTCTACCATCATCATGGTCCTCTGGTCTCATGGCTCGCTCTCACTTTTGCACTCTCCTCTCTCTGTGTGTTTAATCACACTTTGCTTTGTCGCGGCGTGTCTGTACCTGGGCTGATTATCACACCAGTCATTCAACACCAGATTGTTGACTAAGATGGGCGTAAAGTGACTGTTCTGAGCTGTGAGTAGTTTGTTTCTGTTGTTGCTGCTGGTCAAACCTTCATGAGCCCTGTTACAGTCGTCACTTTAAATAAACACACTGAACTGTGGATGAGTGAGTCTGCTGACAGTAACCATGACAACCACTGGAATGACAGCGTACTTGAAGACTACTTCATTTCATAGATTAATATTTACAATGGAAATTGCCCATCATACACGTAATAACAAGATTTCCAATAATTCTTCTAACAGCCATCGATCGATCTGATCTGTTTTACCTTACAATATAAGGCGACTGTTGTTGTGATTTGGCGCTATATAAATAAAATTGAACTGAATTTTATAATATCTAACAAGCTTTATGCAGTTAGGCACCAAAACCAAAAATATAAAATTAAACTTCACTTTAAACATAAATTAAAAACATAATGTGAGCAGTCTTTACGAGCTCTGTGTTGTTTCTGGTAATGTTCGTTCTTCTTGGCCAGTCTGTGCCAGGGCTTGTGTTGTGTGTGGATGCAAGGAAAGGAGGCCCCAAACGCTGGACTCACAGATAGGTGAAGGCTAGTGTTTGTTATGATGAGCGGATGAACAGGACATAAAACGGAGGACCGACTGAACTGAAATAGCTGAACTGGCTGGAGTGGATCACGTATGGCATAGACACATTCAAAGACATGATGTTGAACGAGTGGAAACAGAAGACTTAAACACACAGACTGATGAGAGACACAGCTGAACACACTCTGGCTAACGACACATGAGACGAGCTGACAGGAAAAACAGGAAGTGAGAACAACATTGATGTGGAAAAATAAACTAAAATGACAAAACTGAAAACACTGGGTCAACCAGCCAGGAACCCTGACAGTCGGTCTCTGCTCCATGTTCTGTCTTCAGTGTCCCTGTTTTAATTCACCTCCGACCTCTCCGGTCATGTTCGCGTCTCTCTTTGCTCTCTCCGTGAACATCACCTCTTGTCTCTGTCTCTTGTTCTGTTCTTGCCCAGCTTAGATAGTGTATTTTGCCTTTTGGGGTTTCTTGGTCACTTTGTTATCTGCAATGAAATTCTGACTTTGAGTTTTACATTCTGCAATAAAGTGGCAGAGGTAGGATAAGAAGACGGAAACAATCCTGTAATAATGACTAGAGATTGGATAAAACTGTATTAATCGCTCGGGTGGGTTCCCCCAGGAAAGTCAGTTGTTGTCATTTCAAAGTTATTACCACTCAATTATAACATAGTAACCAGTTAATATTCAAGTAAACTCATGGTGGCCGTCAGTAATAATAGTGTAATACCTTTGTAACAATACAAAAATGAGTTTGAATTTTCACATTTTTATACAGTTTCAATTGGAATAATGTAATAATAATAAGGTAATAGTGACTGATGTTTTAGCCTATTTGGATAGTATTACTATATTATAATGCTTGAATTAATCCTACCTTAAGTTTCCAACATTCTGCTTTGCTTAAAATCAATAATGTAAATATTATGTTTATTGCTCTGAATTATTAAATGGGAATCTCTGTGGTAGTTTCTGTTCAATAAGCAGGAAAATGGGGCCACAACTCCACTGTCCTGCTCCACCTTCATCATAAATTGACCCCTAACCATCCAATGATCCAGCCTCTCCTGTAGCTATAGCACCAAGCGGCCTGCTTGCATACACACGGCTGTAATGTTGATCACCTGGTTGGTTTTGGTGATGGTCGCAGGGATGATTGCCCGTAATGCTGCTTTCACATCTTCTAGTTGACCTTCAGAGGATACTTCACGTAGTCTTGGTGACTGAAGGCTCCAGGTTTCCAGCTTCACCATCATCCTGTCTCTCTGGTCAGCTTCTGTCGCACTCTGCGCTCCTTTCTTTGTACTTGGAGCTTGGTACCCAATCTCACTGGTATTATCACCCACCTGACCTGATGTCACAGGTCACAGGTTAGCCCTTAGGCAAGGTACAAACAAGAACGTAGAGTATTTTAGAGCCAGGTGTACACTGACGCATACAACGACCGAGTGGTGTCTATTTACACCTACAGGCCAGTGGACACTCTTTCAATGATGAGGATGTCCACATCCTGGACAGGGAGGAACGCTGGTTTGAGGGCGGAGTCAAGGAGGCCATTTACGTGAAAAGGGAAAGACCATCTCTGAATCGAGGAGGGGCCTAAGGGTCCATCTGTCACCATCTTACAATGCTGTGATTGCAGCCGTTCCCCAACAGTCATTGTTTCTGTCATTATGCAAATGTGCTGTTTATAAGGTTGCAACCTGTTGTCAGCTGAGACTGAAGGAGTCACCTGATGATGATGATGAAACGTTTCTCCCACTGAAAACGTCCAGATGAACAGGATCAAAGTTTGGAGGGTGACTTACCTGGATGATTGAGCATGGATCACTTTAAAGGCACACAGCAGAGACAAACACATTTCTATGATTTTCAGCGTTCTGTTTTTACTCTCGGTTGCCGTCACTTTACACGCACACACGTGAACACTTCCCCAACAACAACGACGACGACAGGACGTCAGTCACCCTTTTAATTCAGGCGCAGTGTGATCATTGATGCCGCTCAGGTGCGTGCACCTCGCTGAAGCCGCGCCACAATCACTTATAAAATGTCTGTTATAGTTGATTAGGGGCATACAAATCCAGTGTAGGAGTGGTTCTTAACTGGAACCAGCACTTAGTTCCCCTTAACTAATTTAAACTGTGTTTCAATGTTTCCAGAGGTGAAAGAAGATGAGTGGGAGGAGCTCGGCTCTGACATCGCTGCACTGCATCGACTCCAAGGACTATCTGAACACATGTTTGATGAAAGCTTTATGAACACCTCAACAACCAGGTATCTTACGACTGTGAAGAGCTATTACTACATTACAGCTCCTGTGGGTATCATAGACATTGGTTATCAGAAGCACTGTGGGGCTCTGCCACTGTGACTGGAATTGTATAGATGTAATGTAATCCTGTGCAGCAGGCAGATACTGACCCGGCGTGCCGCAGACAGCACTTAAGCTTTGATGCCAAAGTCTTTTCAAAAACACAGAGGTGGACCCAGGAGTAAATGATAACAAGCAGAACTCGAGTGAAACCACAGAATGAGGGAGGACGAGCCAAAGGACAGGAGTTAGACTCAGACAATAAACACACAGCAGCTAAGGAGGGCAGAGGAAACAGGTGGGAGCTAATCAGAAGACGAGACGAGGAACCAGACAAAGACCCAGTGACATGACAGAAGAATGCACCTACAGATTTCAGACTTCACTTTGAGATTTTACCACTTGTACAAAATAAAATTAAGTAAAAAGTAATCTATAACAAATAATGCAGGATGTGTTTCGTTTAGGGGAAACGACTACCACCAATCACGATTTGGAAGATATGTGAAAAGGTAAAGAAGCTTTCAGTCATTTACATTTTTTAAATGGTGTTTAGCAGGTTTAACATCTGGATGTTTTATGTCCTTTGCAAGTATTTGTAAAAGAATTTGGACAGTGCTTCACAATACACTGGAATTTTTTATTAATAGTTGGTTATTAATGAGCCAAAAAGCCCGTTAGGATTTATCACAGCAGATCATCTGCCTATCTGCACTTCCTCCTTCACTACATCCATGGATCTTCTCTGAGGATTTCCTGTTTTCCTGCTGCCTGGCTCCATCTTCACATCCTTAGTCCAGTGTATCCACCCTCCCTCCTCTGCACGTCTCTAACTTTGTCTCCAGCCTGCTCAGCAGCAGCTGTCCCTCTGATGTACAATCAACTCTGTCCAACGTGGATTTAGTTTGTTTTATTTATTTATTTTAAAGATAGGGTCCACAAACGGCACTTAGCTTGTTTATGTTACTTTGGGGTATTTTAAAGAAGTGAATAAACAACACGTCGCCACTGTCACATCCTGGTTCTTTTTTTGCTGCTGAGGTTTTTGTTCTGGGCTATGACCTGGTGTTTTGTGCTGATTGAATTTTGAATCTTGTCACTCATCATTGTTTTGATCTTGAATTTGGATTTATGTTCAAGTTCAAAGTGTTTATTGTCATGTGCACAAAGAAAAGCATTTCTCTGTTCAATGAAATTCTTTCTCTGCTGTCCACACACAGATGCTGGTTAATATGTACAAATAGATAAAATACAAATAGCATGAATAAATAAATGGAGACAAAAAAATGAAGTATTAAATAGATTTATGTACAAAGGAGCTGTGAGCTTAATATACTGCTTTGACATGTGAGATGACCAGAAGTGCTGTTCAAAAATGGGTCAGCTGTTCAAGAGTCTGATTGCAGTGGGGAAGAAGGAGTTGTTGAGTCTGGATGTTCTGAACCTTCGTCTCGAGAGCAGAAGTGTGAACAGTGCGTGTTGGGGGTGTGTGGGGTCTTTGAGGATGGAGGCAGCTCTCCTCTGGACTCTGTAGATGCTCTGCAGAGACGACAGCGGGGTCCTGGGGATCTTCTCCGTGGTTGTTAGGGTTCTCTCTGCAGGCGTTTGCCGTCCATCGCAGTAGTGCTGCCGTACCATGCAGTGATGCAGCTGGTCAGGGTGCCCTCCACGATGCAGCTGTAGAAGCTGCTGACATACCAGGTTTCCTCAGCCTCCTCAGGAAATGCAGCAGCTGCTGAGCCTTCTTGACCAGCTGTGTGGTGTTCAGTGTCCAGGTGAGGTCCTCCGAGATGTAGACTCCCAGGTGTTGTCCTCACACGATGACACCAGACCGGCCTCCTCTCTCCTGTAAGCCGCCTCGTCCCCTCAGTGATGTGACCGATCACTGCAGTGTCGTCCACGAACTTCAGTATGGTGTTATCCCTATTGGAGGCGACACAGTCGTGGGTGTACAGGGTGTAGAGGACGGGGCTGAGGACACAACCTTGTGGGACACCAGTGTTTGTAATAATGCCGGCTGAAGTCCTGTTGCCCATCCTGATGGACTGGGGCCTGCCAGTCAAAAAGTCCTGTAGCCAGTCACAGAGGGTGGGCTGCAGGCCGAGTGCTGCCAGCTTGAGTGAGTTTGTGTGGGCTGACAGTATTGAATGCGGAGCTGTAATCAACAAAAAGTACCCTGATGTATGAGTCTTCGTTTTCCAGGTGGGAGAGGGAATAGTGAAGGCAGCAGCGATGGTGTCTGACGTGGACCTGTTGGATTTCTGCAGGGGGTCCAGAGTTGCTTAATTTTTATAGTTAGTTTCCTTGTGCTCATGAGCGTCCTGATTGTATTGTTTCTCTGGTGTAATTTAGACGTCTTTAGGTTATCTAGTTTCCTTTAGCAGTCCCCTCTTGTTCCTTGCTCTCCCTCTCTCTCCTGCTGTCTCTCTAGCTCTCTCTGGTCTGCCATGTGTGCTATTGTCTTCCCATATCTTAGTCTGCCTGGAACTGGAGGCTTAGCTTCTCCAAGAGATAGTGTAAGCAATGAGAATGTCTAAGTTGTGGAATTAAATTCAGACACAGGTGGCCAGGAGGAGACAGAGAAGGAATACATGTCCTCATTGACGCACCTGCACCCCCCAAGGCCCTGCATGTGTGAGGGTGTGATGGAGTGGGAGGAGCCCACTGAGAACAGGGGTCCCAGGCCCATCCTGATAGACGCCCTCCAGCTCAGCTCTAGAATCATTTTGAGGAGCCCATGTTTGAACCTCTGACTGTTGTATAAGATCCAAGAATCATGTTTTAAAAATATATTTTGTCATTTCTTTTATTTCACAGGGTTATGAGATCACTTCAGTTATGCTAATATGTTAATTTTCCATCAGGCTGGACACTGAAGAAAACCCACTAACTTTGCTGGATGGATTTCAGGACTGTGAAAACGTCACAGCTCATGTCATTACGAAGGAGAAGGTCAGTAAACATGAGACAGAAAATGAACACACATTTAGATTTAAGAGATTAAACAGTGCTGAAAACACAGAGATTGTTTCTAATGATGAAAGTCATTAGATCTAAACTAGAACTTGATTGGGCTGATAAAGATCAGCATTTCCTTCCACTGAATATCTGCATCTTTTCTTCTTCTAAAATGGGACAAAATGTGAATTCAACATGAACAAAGAAAAAGACTTACAAACAGCATTAAAACAGCTCATAGTGGTAGCTGGGTTAGCTCGAGGACTTGTGCTTCATACCTGGTGGGGTTTGCATTTGGCACACTTACGTACAGATCGACACATCACATCAGAGCAGTATTAACTTAGTTATTACAACACGCACACGGCTCAGTCAGGCCTGGTTTTGAACCCGGTCTTCATTGAAGCAGAGTGTTGTACTTCTTCCTGTTTGCACTTTCTTCAGCTGTCTGGGAATTTGGGATAAGACAGAATGAATAGTTTTGCATTAAAATGTCCCACCTCACTCCTCACACACAAACATCACAGACGTTAGTGTAGCTGCTGCACATTTATCTTCTAACCTGAGCAAATGTTTGACAGTAAATGTCTTTAACATCCGGGTGAGGAAATCCCCAAAAATCCGACTGTGTTCATGTGGACGTCGCGTTTTCAGTGGGAGAAACGTTTTGTCATCATCCCAGTCGGATGACAGGAAAACATTCCCTTTTACATCCACCCTGGAATGCTCAGTCACTATCTTCTCCTAATAGAAACACACGAGGGATGTTTGAGTTTGTGTTATTATAGTTTTGTAATTTCTAATAAATGTTTCTTTATGTTTCACTTTTCTTTATACAATTTAATTTAGCTTCAGGCAGTTTGAAAATGTTTAGTTTTAGTCTATTTAATTATTAGTATAATAATCAAAGTTGTGACATGACAGGGAACACTGTCACAGATAGTAAGATCAGAAACTTTATTTCACAGCAGACATTTTAAAATGGGGACTTTGAACAAGGGCTGAGAGGAGGCAGCCCACGGTCCCAAGAAGAGATCAATCAATCAGCTTCCACCCAGCAATAAAACACTAAAAATGAGACTGAAAAGGAAAAACTAAACTTGCCTTCCTCAGGGTCAGGCCTAGCAGCATCCTCTACTTCCCCTGAAGAATATTCTCAAAGGAGATGTTGTTAATGAACATGACACGAGCGTCTGGAAAAAAGCAGCTCAAGCTTGCGAGGAAATGGAGGCGATGGTGTTCTGCATTCCTATTCCCAGCCTCACGGGAAGGCAACTTGCTTCCTCTCTCATGCTGGAACACGAACAACCCTCGCTGTATATTTTTGCTGCGAGCAGCTTTAATCAGCTCCCATCAAAATGAATGCAAGTCCAACATGTCTGTAACTTACTCTGCCTGTTACTGCTTTTTAATCAAGTCCTGCCATCTGGCTTTTTACTTAGAGTCACCTGTTGTCCATCAGTCAGGGTTCCAATCGCATTATTATACTGATAATTATATAGACTAAAAATAAATATTTGGCTGAAACTAAATTAAATTGTAAAAAGAAAAGTGAAATATAAAGAAATGTTAATTAGAAATTGCAAAACTATAATAACACAAACCTCAGAAAATAAAACTGAGGTTATTGTGCTCGGCCCTGAAAAGCTTAGAAATATGGTCTCTAACCAGATTCTTTGTCATGATCCTGGGTCGTTGACCCAGTGTTTTGTGTTTCTTTTTGGTTTCATCTTGTGTTTGGTGTTTCTTCTGATTCTGTATTAATTCTTTGGGTTAGTTGTCGTGTTTATTATCCCTACCTGTGTCTCCCCTCTGTGCTCTGTTCAGGTCCCTGCGTTTTGTTGTAAAACAGTCTGTGTGTTTCCGGTTTTACTTTGTAGGTCTGCTTCTCATCATGTCCATTAGTGTCAGCTGTGTCCACCCCTGCATGTCATCTCCTCATTACCTAGTGTGTATTTATACTGTGTGTTGGCTTCTGTTCATCGTCGGATCGTCTGTGTTTCTCGGTGTAACTACGTCTCTCTGCATTCTCAGCCCACGTTTCATGCTTAGGTTTGTCATTTAGTTTTTCCAGTCTAGGTTTTTTCAGTCATTCGTCTTTTCTCACTGCCTGTTCGGTCACTCCACTTCTGTAAATAAAACATCACTCTCATCACCAGGCCTGCATTTTGGGTCCTTTTTCTCCTACACCACACGGCTCACCCCGCCAGCCGTGACATTCTTACTCTGGATGGCATTACCTTGGCCTCCAGTAACGCTGTGAGGAACCTTGGAGTCATTTTTGACCAGGACATGTCCTTCAATGCACATATTAAACAAATATGTAAGACTGCTTTCTTCCATTTGTGCAACATCTCTAAAGTTAGAAATATCCTGTCTCAGAGTGATGCTGAAAAACTAGTTCATGCATTTATTACTTCCAGGCTGGACGACTGTAATTCATTATTATCAGGAAGTCCAAAAAACTCACTGAAAAGCCTTCAGCTGATCCAAAATGCTGCAGCAAGAGTCCTGACAGGGACTAGAAAGAGAGAGCAGATTTCTCCTGTTTTGGCTTCCTGTTAAATCCAGAATTCAAAATCCTGCTCCTCACATACAAGGTCTTAAATAATCAGGCCCCATCTTATCTTAATGACCTTGTAGTACCATATCACCCTATCAGAGCACTTCGCTCTCGCTCTGCAGGCCTACTTGTTGTTCCTAGAGTATTTAAAAGTAGAATGGGAGGCAGAGCCTTCAGTTTTCAGGCCCCTCTTCTGTGGAACCAGCTTCCAGTTTGGATTCAGGAGACAGACACTATCTCTACTTTCAAGATTAGGCTTCAAACTTTCCTTTTTGCTAAAGCATATAGTTAGGGCTGGACCAGGTGACCCTGAATCATGGGGTCATATGATTGTTGGGTTTTTCTCTGTATGTATTATTGTACGATCTACTGTACAATATAAAGCGCCCTGAGGCGACTGTTTGGCGAAATATAAATAACATTGAATTGAAAAATTGAAATTATAATTATATTATTATGTGTAAGGCATATAAGAAACACTGTGTGTGTGTGTGTGTGTGTGTGTGTGTGTGTGTGTGTGTGTGTGTGTGTATGACAGCTGCAGGGAGGAAGGACCTGCAGAAACGCTCCTTCATGCATCCAGGATCTAGTTCTTAGTTTAGTTTAAATTAACTATAACTACCCTGGTGTGTGTGTGTTGTGTACATTTTCTTATAAACGGGGGTCAGTTATGTTACCTGTTGGTGGTCCTCACTGATGAGACCAAAACAGCTGATCAGGGCCAACTGAGCGTCAGGCTCAAACTGCAGGTTTACTTCAGCAGAACAGATTCTTCACATTATATCCACAGATCCAAAAAATACTCAGAAATTTCATCTTATAGAATTGGGGCCCACACCCAGTTTCACACCTTGTCTCAGGCGATTAGAGGATCATCAGGGGTCCTTTTGTCCCTCTGTGGGGGGTCACTCCCACTAGGTTTATATCTGGGACTCTCCACCATTTGACCTTAGAATTGAAGAAGCTTCTCGGATGAGAGGTGAAACGTCTTCAAGTAACTTAAAGAAGTCCAGACGCTTTTCTTTGCAAGCTCCTTTGACCACCTTATAGAAATTAACTGAGACCAAAACAGTTATCCTGGAGCTCTCTCTCATTTCACTCTTTGCTTCATTTTTCAGGACTTTAACACCTTCTTGGCACATATCGAGAAACAGAAGGTACAAGACTGGCTGCTGGGTGCTTCAGAGATCTCACACAGCTACAACCAAAAGCTTCTGATCATGACCGACACAGAGAAATCCACCAGTGACAGAGTCCAGCAGGAATACAGCAAGGATCCTCATTACTCCGTGAAAGTCACCAAGGACTGCCTGTTCAACGACTCCTGTGTACCAGCAGCAGACGGCTACACTGTGGTCAAAATATTTGGAAGTGTTTCAGAAGATGGACAAACTGTGTCTGGACTTGATGGAGCTTCACTTGCAAAGCTGATGTTGAAACCATCTCTGGAAGCGGCTCCAGTTTTCTCTCTCGATGGAAACACAACCACACAGTTCCACCAGAACTTCATTCGGGTTTTTATGCTCCGTGGCCTCCAAACAGTCTTAGAAACCAACCAGAACAATCAGCAGATTTACCAGGTGATGGATCGACCTGACTCCGTTTCCAGCTACAAAATCCCACAAAGACCAGCTGATCACAGCACACAGTATGACCACCAGCAGATTATAATTATGGAAAATGACCCTGTGGTCAGAAGAGCTGCTGAATATTTGTATGAGAAACATCCAGCAGTTAGTTCTGTCTATGTTCTTGATGAAAACCAAAGACCCAAACTGATCCACGGTGGACCAGTGTCTCTGTCAGAGGACAGCAGACTGGTGCTGGTAGGTCATGGTAAAAGAGACAACGCAGGAGAAATGAGACTGTCTGGATACAGTTCTGGAGATGTGGCACAAATCATCGAAAGGACAAACAGAGGCAGCGATAAAATCAAAACAACGAGTGTGGTGGCCTGTGAGGTTGGATCAGACCAACGATTCATGGAAACTCTGCTGAGGGACCTCCATGAAAATAACATCAAGACAGAGCTTCATGTGAGGGACACTCTCGTCCAAGTCACACACATAGGAAAGAAAATCACTCAGGAAATCTCTCCAGAGGGGCTGCAATGGAGACATAAAGACAACAGCAAGAAAGTGGTGGCAATACTTGATCGCAACGGAGATGTAATAATGAGAAACGAGCCTGGAAGTAAAGGAGAGGCTGTTTTTACCAATGAAAGAAACTTTCTGGGTTACAAATCAAACCTGGGAAAGAAAACAAAGGTGCAAAATAACTATTTGGAACCCCGCAGAGACAACAGCTTCAAGGCAAAATCTCCTAGAAAAGATCGGCACAAAAAAGAACAGAAAGTCAAACAATGGTATAAAGACCAGGACATGAAGGCACCAATACCAAATAAGAATTTGCAGAAGTACAGAGACAGCTGGCCAGATGAACCAAGAAACTTTATTAATCAAGCTGTATTTAAGGATCTTGATCAGAACAAAGTTTTGGATGTGAAATTTGCCATTCATGAACTTGAAGCTGTCACTTGGGCACTGTTTCATTCCAATGACCCCCCATATCTAAAGAAAATCAAATTTAACAGCCCAGAACAATTTATTATAGGAAAAAAAGATAAATATAATGTTCATGTAAGGTGGATAAATGAAGAAGGAGAAAAAAAAGAAGTCCTTGAAAACTGTTATGAAATCAGATCAGGTGAAGATATTAAAAATATAATTTATCACTTTGCAAAGAATGGAGAAGATCAGTCCAAATACCTGATGATCAATCAGTGGATATATGACGTTTATCCTGAAAATTTGTATGTATTTCCAGTTGGAAAAAAGCTTAGCAACGAACAAATAAAAAGTGAAGATCTAGTTATTGAATTTAAGGAGAGTATTGAGAAACAGGTGGGTGAACACAGCTATCCAAGTATACGAAAAAATATTATAAAAGATGAAATGAGCGATAAACAAAAAAATATTGTAAAAGAAGATTATGCGAAATATGTGAAAGGGCTTTTCCTTCGGGAGGGCCCACCTAGACAACCTATTCTCACTGAGGCCTGGTACACCACATATTTTACAGCATCAGTTATATCTGAATCTGCCAGAAATTTCCGGACTTTTCCACTGACTCTTATGGCCCTGCATATGGCTTGTAGCAAAGAAAGCAACATCAATATCCGACAGGCAGGACTGGATTTCCTTTTTGACAATCATCCAATGACAAGAGGAGGCAGTTGGATTGACCCGAGCAGACGAGGATTCGCAGGCTCAGCAACACATGAAGATTCCAGCAAAACAAAAAGTAAGGCGAAACTATTGACTGACCTTAAAAAACTCATAATGCTAGAATATGACTTATTTTCCAAGTATACTGAGTGGCAGAGAACTGGTCTAAAAAATAAGAAAAACAACATGAAACTAAATATAATGAAACAGATGCTTGAACTTGCAAATGAAAACAATATACTTGAATATTCAAAAAACAAATCCATTAAACGGAAATACAATGATTTCAAAAGGAAAACTAAAAATGTTGGCCAACCCTTAACAACATCCAGAGATGACAGAACACCTTCCACATCTGGACCACTGGGGGGCTATGATGATGGCCAACCAACAATGCGAGACCTGAATTCAGCCTCAGAATTAGAAAATACCTTCAAACATGAATCTTATTTCTCGAGAGCATCTGCATCGTTGGCTGAAGACGTCCATGCTGCACTACAGCACAAATATGGTGAAACTCTGGCAGGAATGCACCTTCAGGAGGGAACAGCCCGAATAGAAAACGGACAGTTTGTATGTAAGCTCGTGTCAGAGAGAGCTGGTGCTGAGCCCGAGGAGTTCAGGGCTGATTTATCTCCACAGAGTCAACATTACAGTGAAAAGATGTTGGAGAACATTGAGACATCAGTGCATGAGATGGAGCAGCACAGTTCAGCAGCCTCCCATCAGGTCAACAAGTATGTAGAGAGGACTGGAACTGCTGTTGGAGCTCTGGGTCTCATGCTGGGACTGAAAGGAGCTGCTCGTGCCTTTGAAGAGGGAAACATCAAAGATGGTGTGGTGGGGTCTTTGCAGACGGCTCATGGAGTGACGGCTATGACAACATCTGCTATTGCAAGCAAAGCTTTGACCTCAGAGTCAAGAATCGCAAAAGCAATCATGAGGAGTCCTGCAATGAAGCGTTTTATGACAGTTATACCAATAGTGGGAATTGGATTTGGGATCTACAATATAGAACAAGATTTGGAGAGAGGAGATGCTCTGGGATACATTGATGCTGCGTTAGATATTGGAATAGTTGAGTTAGATATTGTTGAGCTTGTTCAGCCTGAACTGGCACCTTTCATCGCACCTATAACTCTGGCTCTATCAGTAGAGCGGATGGCCATTGATGATGTTTATATGGGCATCCAGAATGAACTGAAGAGCCTCCCAGCGGACGCTGGAGTTTTGGACAAAATAGCTGCTGTTTTTGTTGGCTTTGGAAAAGGGATCATGCACTTTGCTATACATGTGGCTAGTGTGTTTTATGACTGGCGTTATGATGAAATTGAGGAGGGACGAAAACTTGTTGCAAAGATCTCAGATTATCACCAATATTATAAAGTCACAAAGCAACAGGATGGAACGACTGCCATTGATTTTACTGCTGGCGCCTCCTCCTGGAATGGAGGAGGTATTAACTTCTGCCTCGCTGATGAGGGTCAGTCTGAGCTCTGCATGGACTATTTTGTTTCTCGTGATGAGAGTCCAAGAAGACAATGCTGGAACATTAGCACAGATGGAAGCAAAGATATAATTCTTGGTCTGGGAGAGTCACATGGATTAGAGCACAAAACATATGAAAAAAAAGTACTTATATTTATACCAGCTGGATCTGTGACAGTGGTTTCAGGTTATGAAACTCTTACCAATTCAAGGTACGGGACATACAGGGGAAACAGAGACTCTAATCGATTTTTTGCAGTTCAGAAATCACAGGACGAACACATGATTGAAGTCATGTTGAGCTACTATTACAGACTTCATGGGGAACCAGGGGATGACACATTCTTCCTCGGTCCACAGAGAAGTTATGTTGAAGGCTCAGGAGGAAGGGACACCTACATCATTCCTGAGAATGGAGGGAAAACGATCATTAACAACTACGATCCCTACAGAGCACAAGACACTCTGCATTTCAGTGTCGACTACAGCCACATTTCTGTGTCTAAATCAGGAAACGATGTTGTGCTGACGTATGAGGGCAGTCATACTGTAAGAATACAAAACTGGTTTTTAGGAGAAGATTATCGTCACATGAACATGATGTCAGGAGACGGAGTCTTATTTGAGATTTCCTCCACGGTGGTTTCTTCAGTTCAGCTGGTGGCCAGAGGAATTAACAAGATGTTTGAGAAACACGGTGCAGCTGTTGATGCATCACAGCCACTATTACGCACAGTTACAAACATCTTTGGGTCTCAGTATAATGATGAACTCATTGGAAATGGAGAAAGGAACCTGATAGATGGGGGAGGAGGGCAAGATCTTCTGATTGGTGATGAAGGAGAAGACATTTACATGGTGAAAGGCAGAAACTTTTCCTCTGTGCTCATTGAAAATTACTCCAGAGACGAGAAAACTGACCTGGCCATCGTAGAAGCAAATCTTCATACGTTTGGAGTCAGGGTAGAACGTGATGATGTTCATCTGTTGGCTCACCATGGCAGCACAGTGTTTGATGTTACTGTAGTGAACTGGTTCAGGTCATCAGCACACAGACACTTGCTGTTCATCACAAAGGATCTGATCACCTTCACAGTGTCAGATAACAAAGCTGACTGCCTGCAGAGGAACATCACCACATGTATAAAGAGCCTCAGCATTGACTACAGCAGCTCCCCGTCTCCTCTGAGGGTGGACCTTGAGAAGAATGATGCTTTGGACAGCGTGACAGAGGTCCGCGGGTCAAACTATAACGATGTCATCAAAGGAAACAAAGAACACAACGTTCTTGTCCCTGGATTAGGAGATGATTTCATTGAGGGGAGAGGAGGAGAGGACTGGTACGTTATCACAGCAGGACAAGGAGTGAAAACCATCAACAATCTATCACCAGATCTAACCTTGGACCTGCTCTTCCTTAAAGAACAATATCAGGATATAACATGTAGATGTGAAGGTCAGAGCATCATCATTCGGGTACACGGCAGAAGAACTGTTATTTTACAGAACTGGTTTAAATCAAAGAAATATCAGCACCTGCAGATCAAGACCAGTGATGGAGTAACAGCTGAACTGAAGCCCAACATCAGCAGCTGTGGATGGGATTTAATGCTGCCTTTAACCATCGACTACAGAAACCTGAGTCCTGAACCACTTCCAGTAAACTATGACAATCTATGCATGTATTTTTATAAAAAGATAGTTTACTCAGATCAAAAAGCAAGGATTTATTTTGATAGAGGCAACTGCATGCACTGGGGGAAAGTGATGATTATGAATGATGTTGAATCAGTGAAAGAAATGTACGGCTCCTCAGGATTTGACATCATGGTTGGAAACAGCAATGAGAATTTACTGGATCCACACACCGGGGGGGCACTGATGATAGGAGGGGAAGGCAAAGACACTTACATAATCAAACATGGGGATGAAAACATGGTAATCATTGATAACTTTGCAGAAGATCAGAAAACTGACACTGTGCTGGTAGATATGGATTTCCTTGATGGAAGTCGAGTCATACTGGACTCAACAGTTTTAATGGAACCAACAAGAAATGATGTTCATGTTAGAATCATGAAAAATGAGGAAAGATTAGAATTCATTCTCCGTAATTATGCTAATGGTGAAAAACATCAGCATCTAGAATTTCAGAGCTCTGATGGCGTCCATTTCAAACTCAAGTCTCTAAACTCAGCTGGAGACGACTCTTTCTATCAGGTAGAAGCTTTCAAAGTGACTCTCACACAGTCTCAGGTGGACTGTCGTTTGGACCTCAGCGCTCAGAGAAATCTGTCAGAGGTTCACACAGTGCAAGGCTGCCCCTCCCAGTCGAATGTTATAATAGGCAACAACCGAGACAACGCTCTGATTGGTGGGTGGAAGGACGACGCCTTGGATGGAGGTGATGGAGATGACACGCTGGTAGGAGGAAATGGAGCTGACATCCTGATTGGTGGGAGAGGAGACGACACTCTTTATGGTGAAGATGGAAATGACACACTGATGGGAAACTCTGGCCGGGACGTCTTCCTTCCTGGACCAGGAGCTGATCTGGTGGACGGAGGTCCAGGCAGAGACTCGGTTCTCTATCGGGGTGATCATGAGAAGGGTGAAGGGGTTTATGTTAACCTGCTGACGGGCCAAGGCCACCATGCTGACGCTGAGGGCGACGTGTTGAAGGATGTGGAAACTGTGGTCGGCACCATCTATTCGGACATCTTAGTCTCTGGTTATGAAAGTTCTCTTCTCAAAGGCTCAGATGGTAACGACATCTTGGTGTCCACCGGTGGAGATTATCTGGTTGGAGGTGATGGAAATGACATTTACATGTTCACTTTCAGCAACGGCTCAGTCACCATAGACAACTGTGCAACAGACAACGCCACAGATGTTTTGTACCTGAGCTCAAACTCAAGTCCAGAGTTTGATTGCCAACTATTATCTGACCGAGTCCTGCTGACCTTCTTTGGATTCGATCAATCAACTGTAAAAATTGCACTGCGAGGCTGGATTAGTGATGATGATGAATGTGGCCATTTGGTGCTGGTGTTCAGGGAGGTGGAGGCGTCGGTGGACATGCTGCTGCAAGAGTGCCAGTATAGAAAGAAGGAATCACTTTGGTCATCGATCATAACCTGGGCTATCTGCATCACTCTTCTTGTCTTCCACTTGGCTTTTGCTTTACAAGGGTCTCGAAAATTAATCAGAAAAGCACAAAAACAAAAAAGACAAAAAGAAGATGAAACTAATGTTGAAGCAGAGTCAGCACCAACAGTAATGTAGACTGCTGCTGCTGCAGGTCACACATTCTTTAAATATGTGATTTCACAAATAAGTTCTTTTTATACTTATAATTATACTCACTTTGCTAGTTACTCTAAATGTTGAGCTAATCATGAGTATTCTTGCTTTCTAAAGTCTAAATCTGTCACGTTTATTAATCAACTGCAAACTAAAGGAAAGTTCCTGTAATCATAGATCCTGAATGTGTCTGGTTCAGTTACCCAGAGTAACCGAGGAGTCGTTCAGCTTCAAACATCTTTAAATTACACAAAGTCGACAAACTGTGGACAAACGTGCCAAATACCAAAGAAAAGAACTGCACTTGGTGTCGTTGGGATTTACCACCGTGGATCATTAGACACTGTGTGAATTTCACAGCTTGAACAAGCTAGTCGAGTTCTTACCAAACATGTACCTGACATAACACTGATCGTCTTTTATTGCTTTTATTTACTGTAACGGCTGCAAATTTCTGAGCTTATTCAGAGGTGGAGAGTGTGAGCTGTTTTGTAATGTGGACTCATCTCCCCACACCATTAAAATTGATTTTTCATGCTATATATTTTGTAATAGTTGAACAATAAACATTTACTGTCACTGATTTGTGCTGTATGGTGATGTTAAGTGTAACAACCACTCTGATCCATCCATCTATTCACTTCCACTTATCCTTTTCAGGGTCGCGGGGTCACTGGAGCCTATCCCAGCCGTCTTAGGGCGAGAGGCGGGGCACAGCCTGGACAGGCCGCAGTTGTATTATGTATTATTTTAATATTAATGTCAAGTGAATGGGATTTTTTTTCTTAGTCCATTGTGAAATGTAGAAAATCACATAGTAATTTAATTCAATTCAGCTTTATTTAGACAGCACCAAATCACAACAACAGTCGCCTCAAGGTGCTTTATACTGTAAAGTAGACCCTACAATGATACAATCATATGACGTCCAATGAGCAAGCACATCCAAGATGACAGAGTCCCCGGGTGGAGCGCCCTCAACCATCCTACCCACGGACTCCAAGACTCTGACTGTTGCTCAGTGCAGAAGCACAGGTAAAGTCAGGACCCGTTCCCTAACCAGAAGGCGCAGGGAACACACTCTCTCGTACAGAGCAGCAAGCTGAGGGGACACTCAGCCCAGCACACTGCCTCTCACCCGGGCAACTCCAGCCTGAGACAGTCCTGGCCGCTGCAGCACACGTTAACCCAGTAAACCTATCCCAGGCAGGGGGAACTGTTCCCTGATGTTCATCAGCAGCTGTTCTCACAGGACAACATCTGCAACATGATTTATAAAATGTGGTCCTGGACATGTAAAGTATTTAAAAAGTAATTAAACAACCCCAGCCTGAAACAAACACAACAATAATACTGAGGGGGAATATTTGTCCTCAGAGGAATTATGTTTACTTGCAGCACTTTTACGTCCACTGAGATGTTTTCATTGTGTTTTATTGCTTAAAGGAATGGCTGGCTAATAATAAATGTTTATGTAGCTGTAAATGTGATAATATTTTACAATTCTTCAGCCATAAAGGAGTGTAGAAAGTGAATGACTGATAACATGTGAAGTGGCTGGCAGAGTGCAGACAGCTGCACATTTACAGTTTTCCTGCATCACTTTAACAACAATAATAATAATACTAACAACTTTATTTATAAAGCACTTTCAAACAAAGTGCTGAACAGTTACATGGATTCAACAGCCACTTTATTAGGTACATCTGTTCAACTGCTCGTTAATGCAAATATCATTTAATCAGCCTGTAATGAATCAGCAACGTTAAAGCATGTCGACATGGTCAGAACAGCCTGTTGGAGTCAAACTGAGGATGACTGGACGAGGCTCTTGATACGGGCCGAGTATTTCAGACGCTGCTGGACTTTTCCCTGCTGTGGTTTACAGAGAGCGGCCTGAGACAGGAAACATCCAGTGAGGAGCAGTTCTCTGGGTGAAACTGGCTCGTAGAATGAACTCGAGACAGGTGATAGGAAGGCAACAGTAACTCAAACAACCGCTTGTTATACACAAGTTATGCAGATGCGCATCTCTGAAAGCACAACACATCAGACCATGAAGCAGAGTGGCTACAGCAGCAGAAGACCACACTGTGGGCCACACCTGTCAGCTAACAACAAGAAGCTGAGGCTACAGCTCACATGTGACATAAGCCTTAGAGTCTACGGCTTCTTTCTTCACTGACAGGTTTCATATTCATGTCAAAACGGAACTGACAAACAAACAGTAGAGGGCAGCAACATCCCAGCGCTGTGTGTATTCTGCCTAAATACAGAAGCCGAAGAAGAGAAGCGGCTGTTGTCAACAGTGTGGCCGTATGGCTGCGTTATCCTTACGGTAGCCTGTGTGTATGTGAGGTGATACTACAAACATATTAGTGTCCATTACTGAGAGGCTCGGATCAGACGGTGCGTTTAGTCCCCGAGCAGCGACAGCCATGGCTCATCTCACCCAGAACCCCGCGGATAAAGAGCGGTAAGTCCAGGACCCTGGCTAAGCTACAGCTAACAGAGCTAGCCGGTTTCTCGTGCGAACTCTTGTGGAGAATTTTAAACATTTAAGGAAACAATGCACCTACAAACGACACGTGCTTATTTTAAGATGTTGAAGCACTCATGTGGATCCTGGGAGGCTGATCTTCAGTTCGGCATACAGTCCCGCAGCTTTTAACTGAAGCTCCACGGAAAAAGGTTGTTTTAAAGGTTTAAATGTTCACTTCAGAGTCGAACCTCGACGATGAAACGCCGGTGAAACGAGGACATTAGGATAAGCTGACACTGAGTTTTTAAAGGACTTTTAGTGAAATGTCTTTGAGCTGTGTGTAAAGTCACGGGGAACAGAGGGAAAGTTAAATTGCGCATTTTCTACATGAAGTTTGGCCTGTGGTCCTCATCCTTAAGCATGACGTGTGATTAGAAGCTTAAGCTTGATGTTTACAGACCGCCTTATTTTTAAAGCTAAAGGGACGAAATGTGATCAGAGTCACATTAATGTGCAGAAAGTTTGCTGAATGTTCCGGTTCGGAGAGTTTGATCAGATCTGTGGAGCTTACAGGATGTTTCCCTCCTCAGTCAGAGGAGCTGGTACCACAGAGATCTGAGTGAAGAGCGGAGAAACCAAACTGGAAGACAAAGGTCTCATGTCTTTGTTTTGTTTACAAGCAGACAGACGTTCTTGTAACTTTTAAAGTGCTCTTGAGCAACAGTTCTCCAGAAGGCCTCCATTGTCTTCCCTCATTTTTAGCCCAGTCCTTGTTCCTGCCCGTGTTTATAGTGTGTGTTTGTTAGTTTGTTTTGATGAAGCCTCTGAACTCTGACCTACGAATCACTGAAACGTTAAAAACAGCTCCCAGCTGAAGGCATGAACCCGCGCCGTGCCGACACATAGCAGACCGTTTCTTTAGTCGAGTCTGTGAAAAATGCCAAAAACATCACATTTTGACATAAAACAGCATTTTTGCCTTGCCTTGCCTAAAACAGCATTTTTGATCCAACACGCTGATTCCCAAAGAGCTGATAACGTGGCATATCTCAGCGTGGTGTGGAGCGTTTATTTAGAAGTCTAATGAAAAACTGTACAGAAGAAGAAGTGTGAGGCCTAAAAAACTCTCCAGTGGATCAACAGGATCTGAAAGACCTGACACAGGAGCTGAGAGATGATCTGCATCTTCAGCTGATCGTCTAATGTTCACTGAAGCTTCATCAGAAATGTCTCAGTGGAGGACGGCTTGTAGGAAGACCTTCTTAATGAAGGGATACGGAAGGAAGGGCGGAGCCCTGAAGACCAGAGGAACAGGTCTGATTTAGAGATGGATCCACATCATGGTCCGTGTGGACGAGGAGGTCCCACACTGAGAGTCTGCAGCCATCAGGTGGAGACGCTGTCGCGGTTTCAGCTGCAGGTGGAGTCTGATCCTCCATGCAGGAACATCTGATCTTAGCAGCTTCATGTTTCAGCACGACGATGATCCCAACACACCGTCAGAGAAGCACACAGGAGACCGCCATCAGAGCCGGACCTCAGCATGACTGAAGCAGAGTGGGACAACACAATGAGTGTCCTTCAGGAAGCCCGGAGAACTGAAGATCCTCAGAGACGGAGAGCAGCTCAGAGCTCACGCTGAGTTGAAGGATGAAGCTGCTCACGCCACAGATTCACCTCCAGGCTGCTTGTTTTTGCCCTGTTTGCTGCATTTGCATTTATATTTACTCTATTCAAATTTTCCTACAAAATATAAAGAACTGAGGAGTGGCTGAAGACTGTTGCACAGCTCTGTATGCACACACACACACATACGGAGCAGAAACGATGACGTTTGTGCAGCAGGCGATTCAAGCCCGGTGGCGCCAGTGTCCGGCAGCCTCGCCTCTGTCAGTGCGCCCCAGGGCGGCTGTGGCTACAACGTAGCTGCCATTGCCAGTGTGTGAATGTGTGTGTGAATGGGTGGATGTAGTGTGAAGTGCTTTGGGGTCCTTACAGACTGAGTAAAGCGCTGTACAAATGCAGGCCATTTACCATTTTTACCATTTGGTGAGTGATTCCAGCCGAGCGTTCTTACTTAGCGCGCTCGGCTTCATGCATGAGGACGGCCGTCAGTCACTGAGTCGCTGCGTCGTCTGTTTCAGGTTCGTCTGCCTCTATCCCATCTACATCAACAGTAAGAAGACGCTGGCTGAAGGACGAAGGATCTCCGCGGAGAAGGTGACAGTTTAACGTTCACGTGTTTGATGACTACGTACGCTCGCAGCCTGTGTGACATGCTTTTGTAGATGAAAACGGCATAAAGATCATTAGAGCTCGTGCTGTGCGTCTACAGGAGACGCACGACTGCTGGAAGATTCGTTTTTTTAAATAAGTAAAAATCATGAGGCACAAGTGTTGGTAGCATAACATGGAAACAGCCTCTGATAAGCCTGAATGATCGTGTTTGATGTTACCTCTGAAACCTGAGCTGTGATCTTTGAACCTAACTCATCTTCTTTTAAAGCATTTTACAGTCGACTGAAACGCGAGATAAAAGTGAAGAAACTCTTGGATTAAAAAAAAAAAAAGACCAGATGGAGAAAAAAACCCTGAAACAAAAAGTTTCACTGTGAAAAGGTTGATTCTGTCCATGAGCAGTGGGCTGGAGGTCAGCTTATCATCAATGATATGCAAATTCTCATGACCATTGATCAAAGATCAGGGTCATTGATCAGCAGCTGTTAATCATCATGATACGTTTCTCCCACTGAAAACATCCAGATGAACAGAATCAACCTTTTGGGATTTCTTTACCTGGATGACTGATCAGGCATCAGGACATCTGCTGCTCGCTCAAATGTACTAAAGTAAAATAGACAGGAAGTGGCGTGCTGAGTGTGAACGTGCTGCTGTGTCTGCAGGCGGTGGAGAATCCGTCCTGCACTGAGATCAGAGACGTGCTGGCGGCTGCAGGGATGAACGTCTACATGGAGGTAACACCTGAGAACGCACACACACACACACACACACACACACACACACACACACACACACACACACACACACACACACACACTGTAAAACACAGCGTGGTCGGACTCTGTGTGTCTCTTCCAGAACAAAATCCACCCCCGGGAGTGGAACAGGGACGGCCAGTTCAAAGGTCGGGTCAGAGTTCAGATTAAGCAGGCGGACGGCAGCCCATGTCAGGAGAAGTTCAGCTCACGTGAGTGCTTTTATTTTGAAAGGACACTGCTGCACATAGACGACATTAGCCGAGGTAAAGGTGTGCCGTTTGTGGTGATCGCAGGTAAAGACGTGATGATCTACGTCGCAGAGATGATCCCCAAACTCAAGACTCGGACCCAGAAGAGCGGAGGAGGCGACACCAGCTCTCAGCAGGGAGAGGGAGGGAAGAAGAGCAAGAAGAAGAAGAAATAGACACAAAATGATTTTGGTTTGTCTTTAAATGTTTTTTTGTTGGTTATTGATTTGATTGGATGAGAATCAGACGGAGGCGGGTTTTTGTTTTTCTTATTCTGCTTCCAAAATGAAAACCTGAATGTTTTTCATGTTCTCATGTTTCATTTATGTTTGAACTGAGGGCTCCGTTCACCTCGTCCAACAGCTTCACACAATAAACGTTTCATTTTCTCTCCTTTTTTTTTGTTGCCTTCGTGTGTCGACCTCAGAACGAATCCAACAGTGACGTCAGCATCGGCGCGTTCTGATGTTCTCCAGTAATTTCAATACGTGTTTTTCAGGTTTAAGAGAACCTAAGTTCTTTTTTTCCCACAGGTTTGACCAATGACTGTAGAAAACATGGACGACCTAATAGCTCCCAAAAAATGAAGCCCAGACGTCTCTATCGCCCCCTGGTGTCTGACTGCAGTATAGGTCATAAACCCGCCTCCTCCATGTTAGCAGATGGGACTGGGCTCAGACTAAAATAAAGATGCTTCCTTTCATCATCAGTAGTTCTCATCACGCTGATTTGTGTTCAGTGGGCTCTTTTCTCACAGGGTGGATTAGTTTTGACTGTCTTAGCACTTTCTCAGTCTCTGCAGCTCACAGCGGGTAAAATAAGTCTTGAACACGTTACCGGTTTTCTAAATATGTTTGTAAAAGTGATGTTGCAATGAAATTCTCTTTCTGTAACAACTCATCCGGTCGACACATGCAAAGAAACCAAAGCAGAGAGAGGTTATGTGTAATAATGAGAAATGTCACAGGAGAAGAGTTGAACACATGAGGAGGACGGAGGTCGTGACCCCAGCTGACATCAGCTGGTTCAGTCCCAGCGGACGGCCGACACAGAGGTGTGTCACACTGTGAGGTGAATGTTAACTGGTAACCACTCAAAGCATAGAAGAGCGCACTTGTGTGAATGAGGGTCCAGAGTCCAAACCTCGTCCAGCATTAACAGCACAGATGTTTGTCTGTGAAGGTTCTCAGTCATCCAGGTCATCATAGTCTAAGGAGCTTGGAAAGAAAAGCGTCTGGACTTCTTTGGGTTGCTTGAAGACCCTACACCACCGGGCAGAACATGTTCCCTCTAAGCCTGAAGGGGAAAAGAAGGAACACACATGTAAAGGAAGCACTCAAAACATGCGGTTATCGTAATTGGGCGTTTATAAAGTCAGCAAAGATGCACCGAAAAGAAGATCAGACACCAGCGAGGGAGGATAAGAAGGACAGATGCAACAACATTGACATCCCCTATGTAGCCGGTGTATCAGAGAAACTCAGGAGCGTTTTCTCCAAGCATGACATCCCAGTGTACTTCTTTCATAAACTGTTTATGCTGAGTCTGAGTCTGCAGAGGGTCCCAGTGATGTGGAAGACATCATGCCTCGTCCCTGTACCAAAGACGCCACGTCCCAGAGACCTCCATCTTCAGAAGTTTTCTGATGACTCTGCGGTGGTTGGATGCATCAGCAGGGATGATGAGACAGAGTACCGGGCTGTGGTCGACTCCTTTGTCACGTGGTGTGAGCAGAATCATCTGCAGCTCAACGTGGCAAAGACCAAGGAACTGATCGTGGACTTCAGGAAGACCAGGAAACACTTGACCCCTGTTTCAATCCAGGGGGTCAGTGTTGACATTGTGGAGGACTATAAATACCTTGGAGTTCACATTGACAATAAACTGGACTGGGCTAAAAACACCACAGCACTTTACAGGAAGGGCCAGAGTCGTCTCTATTTTTTGAGGCGACTGAGGTCCTTCAACATCTGCCAGAAAATGCTGAGGATTTTCTATGAGTCTGTGGTGGCCAGTGCGATCCTCTATGCTGTTGCATGCTGGGGGAGCAGGCTGAGGGTCGCAGATGCCAACAGACTCAATAAACTGATCCGTAAGGCCAGCAATGTTGTGGGGATGGAGCTGGACTCCCTCAAGGTGGTGTCGGAGAGGCGGATGCTGTCCAAGATAAAGACAATGTTGGATAACACCTCCCACCCACTCCATGACATGCTGGTCAGTCACAGGAGCACGTTCAGTGAGAGACTGAGATTACCCATGATGCACCACTGAACGACACAGGAAATCATTCCTGCCTGTGGCTCCCTGTACAACACACTGGTTACTGCAACAGCTACATGTTTCTTTTTCAGCTATTTATTAATAAGTGACTTTTATGTATATATATATGGTGCTATTCTTAGTTAGTGTATTGTCTGTCTTGTTAATGTTTGGCAGAGCAGGTCAGCCACTAATCAGAAGGTCGGTGGTTCGATCCCAGGCTGCCAAATATCCTTGGGCAAGATACTAACCCCATGTTTGCCTACTGGTGGTGGTCAGAGGGCCCGGTGGCGCCTGTGTCCGGCAGCCTCGCCTCTGTCAGTGCGCCCCAGGGCAGCTGTGGCTACAATGTAGCTTGTAGGGTAAAGCGCTTTGGGGTCCTATGGACTAGAAAAGCGCTATACAAATGCAGGCCATTTATAATGGAGCACTGTAACAAAAAATAATTTCCCCCATGGATCAGTAAAGTATTATGATTCTGACACTTCAGACCCAGCAACACACTCAGACACAAACTGGTTCATCACAAAGACAAAACCCCAAAACACAGACTTAACAATGTGGTGTTTGCTGTACAGTGCAGCGAGGAATGCTCAGACCTCTGCATTGGAGAGACCAAACAGCCACTTCACAAGCGCATGGTACAACACAGAAGAGCCACCTCCACAGGACAAGACTCAGCAGTCCATCTGCATCTTAAGGATAAAGGTCACTCTTTCGAGGATGCCAATGTTCACATTTTGGACAGAGAGGACAGATGGTTTGAAAGAGGAGTGAAAGAAGCATCTATGTCCACTGCGAGCGACCATCTTTGAACAGAGGCGGGGTTTACGACACCAACTCTCTGCCATCTATAATCCAGTTTTGAGATCCTTCCTAGACGCCTTGACGCCCACTCACATCCTGGGCCATCTGACCTCAGGAATTCGCATGATAAGGTGGGGCCAGGTTTCACAATGAACACACCCGAAACTCTGGCTGATTGGGACCCACACCCAGTTTCACACCTTGGCTCAGGCGATTAGGTGGAGGATCATCAGGGGGTCCTTTTGTCCCTCTGTGGGGGGAAACTCCCACTAGGTTTATATCTGGGACTCTCCACCATTTGACCTTAGAACTGAAGAAGCTTCTCGGATGAGAGGTGAAACGTCTTCAAGCTACTTAAAGAAGTCCAGACGCTTTTCTTTCCAAGCTCCTTAGACCAAACAGCACAGAAGCTACACCGGGACCCTCACTGGATGGTTTCCGTGGCAGCAGCTCCTTCGGGTGTCACTTCCGCTTTATTTTTTGCGATTGTTTGAGTTGATGATTGTGTTTCTATTCGATTTAAACAAACGATCACGGAATAACAGGACCAGTCAGGAGGTCACCAAGGACCACAGCCACCCAGCACATCAGCTGTTCTCCTTGTTACCATCTGGCAGACGTTACAGGAGCCTGTCTGCTCGGACTACAAGACTCAAAAACAGTTTTTACCACCAAGCCACACGACACCTCAACCACAACACTTAAACACACACAGCACAGCACTCAGAAGCTACCTGCAGCTTCACAAGTACTCTGTTTAATCTGCACTGGTCACTTCACTTTATTGTCATTGATATTTATATTTAAAAGTGCAATACTGTGATTTTCTGCTGCTCATTCCTGTGCAATGTCCCATCTGCCCTCCCGTCATATTTCTTTTCAAGATTTTCTTATTTAATCACTAGTGTACATATATTTATATTTATAGATACATATATATATATTTAGTCATCTTTTCTCTTTTGCCATGTCTCTCTAATATTTTGCTCCTTACTATTTTTCTATTTTTTATTACTTTATTTTATTATATTTTCTTCTACTGTACCATGCTGCTGAGTGACTGCTGCTCGTCAAACACATTTCATTGCAATGTTGACCCTGTGCTAACTTGCATATGACATATAAAACTGAAAACTGAGGTTTCCATAAGTCCTACAGGCCTGAAACGCATCACCACAGTGGCCTGATGTTTATATGCGGTTACTAGGCAACAGGTGAGCGTTGATCGGCTGACCAGCGGACCCGGTGTGCTCCTGATCGATTAACCTGCCCCCTCTCTCACCTCTACGCGGAGCTTCGTCCCGGATGGCCGGGGCGCTCACGGACCCGACCTGGGCTCCGGTGGCCTTCGGGCGGCGGGCCGTGCCGCAGCTGTTCGGGGAGCTGCAGCGGGCCGGGGCTGCGGCGAGGCTCCGGGCTCTGACGTCACTCTGCGACCTGGTGCACGAGCCGGAGCGACTGTACCAGGCTGTTACCGGAGGTAAGAGCTCAGAGGGTCACCGTAAGGTCCGCCCTCTGCACAGGGAGGACAGGTGTGCAGTTCAGGGGAAATCAGGGAGAGAAGGGAGGAGCCGTGACACTGTGCTGGACATCCCTGCTTTTGAAAACTATAAAACATAACCTGAGGACTTCAGGTGTTTCACTAGCTGTTATTGGCGTGTTTGAAGGTGGGACTTGGGGTGGCACCGGCCCACTCTGAAGTCTGCTGTGACTAAAATGGAGGAAAGTTGGGAAAAGTACAAACTGGTTCTTCTTCTGCAGGTTTTCTGAAGCAGCTGAAGGTTTTGTTCAGGGATGAAGATCCATCAGTCAGAGCAAAAACCTGTGAGCTTCTTCACCTGCTGACCTGACACAGCATCGGCAGGTACGTGCACCGAGACAAACAGGCACGGCACCGGGAGGAAGACGGGGTCATCGGGTCATTCTGTTTAAAACGGAAAAGCAGGAAAGCAAAACACTCACAATTGCAATAAAGAGGCAAACAGATCAAACAACCACATAATGCAAAACAACAGATACACAAAAATGACAACCAAAAACTAGCAAAACTAGTAAATAAAGCTTCTCGTGTCTTTAAGACAAACGTGTTTGGAGTCGATCACAGACCAAAGATCCGCTCAAACACTCGAGTTCATCACGAAGAAACAAACAGAATCTTGTTTTGGAGTTTTTCAGACAGGAGAGAAAATGTTGAGCCTGAAAAGTTGACAAACGGCTGTTCTGGAAAACAGGATGCGACGTGTGAGCAGAATGAAAGAACGATGAAGAGAAAATCTGAACTGCTGGGCTCTCAGTTTCTGCTGTGCTGCGACCCCACCAGCAGGTGGCGCTGTGACCCAGCTGTGAGGTCCAGGTGAAGCTGAAGCTTGGCTCCTCTTTGTGTTATGGAGCTTTTAAACATGACATTGAAATAAATGTCCGACACAAATGAACAAACACTTTTTAAAATTATTTGACAATAAATAAACCACCAAATTACACAAAATACTTTTTTTATTAACGCTGTGAAATAACTTTTCAATTTTATTTAATAACCTATTAAAAACACAGAATTTACTTTTTTTTTTAAAAATTATTACGATAAATAAAGCATCACATAAGAGCTAAATCATGAGAGTTGCGTCTGCCTGTGGAACATTAACTAGCAGAGTTTCTTTGATAAATTTAGGATATTTGTTCGGATCCGTTTGTGTCATTTTTTGAATCTTTCTGAAAGTTCAGGAGCTTTAAAGCTGTTCAGGGTTCATGTGTGTGTCCTGTCGCCTCCTCCTGCAGGCAGGCCGTCCTCGCCTCCTCCCTGCTCCCTCCTCTCTGTCAGCTGTTGGACGACTCCTCGTTCTCCTGCAGGAGGAACGTCCACCGAGTGCTGAGCCGCCTCGCTCTGCTGCCTGCAGGTAAGCTCGGATTCCCAGCATCAACCTAACCCTAACCCTGAACTCAAACCTGGAGTTTAATGATTGAGGACTAAGATGATGTTTGAGGGGTCAGGGGGCGTGTCCTCAGGGCAGCAGGTCACATGCTGCAGCACTCGTACGTCTGTAGGCGTTCATGAGGACAGTTCAGGGCTTAATTGTGGGTTTTCCATGCCGCCCTGCAGGAGCAGAGGCTCTCCTCTCTCTGGTGTCTAAACTGATGCTGAAACTCACAAAGGAGGAAGATGAGGAGGTGCAGTTGCTGCTCCTCTCCACCCTCACCCACTGCTCCAGGCTGGACGCCCTGCCGGGGTTGGCCTCCGATGGCGTCTCGCTGCTGGGACGCAAACTGTCCCACCGATCCTTGATCATCCGCCGAGAGGCGGCCGCAGCAATGATGGCACTCAGGTAGATCAGCTCGCTCTGATCCAGGCTGTGCTTTTGTTTCCTCGCCGTGCGCTGGTTTAACCGACTGTTTGCTGGTTACAGCGTTCCCATGGACGGGAAGCGACAGGTCTGCGAGGATGCCGAGGTCCTTCCTGTCCTCGTCGGTCTTCTACGGGACAAAGACGTGGAGGTTCAAGCCAACGCTGCAGGAGTCATCATGAACACCGTCATCATCACCACAGGTACAAACGCACACCGGCTTCCACAACCCTCAACTCAGAAACTCCAAACTTTGAATCAGGATCAGTTTAAGTAAAATCGGTTTTTACATCCACGATCAGTCTGAAGGTATCGACCCAGCTTCAGTTTAGTTCCATGTTTCAAACACAGAAGTATCTGTGACTGCAGGTAAGCAGCGGTGCCTGGACCTGGACGTCCTCCCCGTCCTCCTCGGCCTGCTGTCTGAGAAGCACGGGGACGATGACGAGGAGGAGATGAAGAAGAGGAGGAAGGCCCTCATCATGTACGTCCTTCGTGCGCTCACCTCATTGGCTGAGGCTCCTAACGGCCGCCGCCTCCTCCTGGAGCAGCTCCCCCTGCTGGAGAAGAAGGCTGAGGCTGCGGACCAGGACATCCGGCGGGCCACTCAGACCGCCATCCAGGTCATCACCTGGACTCCATGACCTCTGACCTCCAGAGGTCTCATGGAGTAAGAAAATAAAAAAGCAAAACTCATCACACATTTTCTGATGTCATTGTTAAACATCACATGACCAGCCCAATCAAATCTGGGTGCATCATGGGATATTTCTATAAATGTGTTATAAGAGTACGTTGTTTACTTTAACTGCTGAGGACATTTACTCTAAAGTGTTCTGCTCATGAATGCCAGCATGTGTTCACTGTGTTTTCTGACTGAAGAGCTTAAACCTGCATTTGTTCTAATGTCCAGCAGGGGGCGACACCTCCGGCTGAGTAAAGAAGTCTGACGTGTATCGTTAATGTCCATGAATGTTACAGATTTGTAAGCGATGTGTTTTAGTGGGAACTATGTTTACTGTCTGTCCAATAGAGAGGCGTTACCACGGCAACTAAGAAGGGGACAAAGCTTCAACAGGCGTCGCGTTTTAACCTGAACTAAAGTCTTACTAACATTAACCAAGTGACACCGTTTAAATGTATTTGAAAAACGAGAAATAAAAAACGTCTCTCACACACGCGATAACATCACCAACACCTCCCAACTCCAAATTTGAACTTTTGTTTTATAAGAGGCGTGGCTACATGGGCGTGAATCAGTACATGCGGGTGAAACGCCGTGTTCAGGGACATGAAATAATGTTCGGAAATTTTGATGGACTCTTAAAAAATAATCACATCATCACATCTCACAGGTGTAGGCCGCACAGCTCATCAGTGCAGAGTACTGCCCCTCAGCAGGCTTCCTGAAGTCATCCAATCAGAAGACAGGGGGCTTAAATTGTGAGTGAGGTGTTAAAGAGACAGAAGCTAAAGCAGCTTATTTCAGACAGCTCCATGAAAGCTCAGATAAAGGATTACTTTGAACTGTTATTCATGGAAAGCCACTTTAGTCATCTCCAGAACACATTTAGAAGAACAGCGAACGTGAAATGAGCCAAATACGCCCACTTTCTACTTAACCTGAAAGGTTTAGGTACAAGTACGTCCCCCAGTATCCCAAATGTAAAGTTTAAATATAATCTGACCTGACCTGTGCAGCGTGTTTCGGATACAAATCAAACTAATTCAGTTTTTAGTCTAAAACAAAGTCATTGATGACAGACTTTATATAAAACCTCTTTGATTTAACTATTGTAGTTTAAATAAATATTTAATATTTAAGTGATATTCAGTATTCTGTATTAGCATTATTAGCAGATGAGCAGGGTGATACACACTCTAGAAAACAACCAGAGACGTCTGTGACCCCCTCAGGGTCACGCACCAGTGTTTGAGCCCCTGTGAGCGGGATCGCCTTGTTCGTACTGAATGCTGTTTCCTCTCAGACCTGCTGCTCTGAACAAAACTGAGAGCCTGACGCTGCAGGTGGTGACATGAAGCCAAACAAACTGCATGAACGAAACAAAAGAGGGAGCCGGAGAGGCCAGCGGTGTTCAAAAGTGTGAAACATGAGTCTGCGCAAGGAAACGTGATTTATATCAGACGAGTTTCCAATGTCTGTCCCTTTATACATAAGAAAATAGCTGAGAACAGAACAAACACAACAGCAGATTATTGACACACTAAGACTGTCTCAGGTCGTCTGTACAGGGAGCTCAGTCAGGTCCAAATAATGGGCGACACGCACTTTAACAAAAATATACAAATGTGTTTAATATAAAGAAGGAAAAATTAATCATAATTAACTGTAATTGATGTGCTGCATAAACAGAGAGAGGGCAGAGACTGACACAGGGAGGCTGGACAGGTGCTCACCGTCACTGACTCCGCCTACCAGGAACCTGCAAGACGACACAGAGGGACAAACACACATTGCACTAGAACGTGGCAGTGTGGTCAAACAAACACATTAATATCACAAAGATGGAGCATGTGGAGGTTGGTGGCTGCACGGACGGTACTATCCTCAGCAAACACGCTGTGAACGCCTCAAAAATGAAGGACGGAGCTTCAGCCTGAATGGATCACATGATGAACAAGTGCCATGACACTGGACGTTGATATTATGGATATGTAACTGGCAGTGATGGGAATAACAGTGTTACAAGTAACAGCGTTACTAACGCCGTTATTTTTTTCAGTAACTACTAATCTAGCTAATTACTATTCCTGTCGTTACAACGCCGTTACCGTTACTAACAAGAAAATGTGGTCGTGTTACTATTTTTCAACAAACAGACGGTTGAAGCTGTGTTCAGCTTACAGCATCTTATATCAGCTGCAGGAAGATAGATAAGATAAGATAAGATAACTCTTTATTGTCATTGCACAGTCATACATAGTACAGTAGTACAATGAAATTGGAAAAACTGTCCTACGTCGGCACTACATATAACACAACACGACACGATATGACACATCACAACGTAACAAACAACACAACACAGTATATTAACTTAGTATAAAAAAGAAGAATAAGTGTATGTGTATTGCACACTGTTATTATTGCACATTAATTATTATTGCACCTTGTTATAAATATAAATATTATTGTTATCGTTTTAAACATTGTTACGTCCCCCTAAAAAGTCCAGGGAGGTATCCAGTCAGGTCAGCTGTTAGCATTGATCAGGGCTATTGCCCTGTTGTAAAAGCTGTCCTTGAGTCTATTTGTTCGGGACCTCAGCAGCCTGAACCTCCTGCCAGACGGCAGCAGCCTGAACCTCCTGCCAGACGGCAGCAGCTTAAACACCCGGTGTCCTGGGTGTGTGCAGTCCCGTAGGATGCTGCGTGCCCTCTTGAGACAGCGAGTGCTGTACAGGTCCTTCAGGGAGGGAAGAGGATGTCCAATGATTTTTTGGGCCATGTTGATGACCCTCTGGAGTGCCTTTCTGTGTGCTGTGGTGCAGCTGGAGAACCACACACCGATGCAATATGTCAGCACACTTTCAATGGAGCAGCGGTAGAAGACGGTCAGCAGCTCCTTCTTCAGGTCCATTTTTCTGAGGATTCTCAGAAAGTGGAGACGCTGTTGGGCCTTCTTTAAGACCGCAGAGGTGTTAGAGCTCCATTGGAGGTCTGTGTCTATGTGCACACCCAGAAACTTGAAACTGGAGACCCTTTCCACGCACTCCCCGTTGATGCTGACAGGCTGCAGCTCGGACTTCCTCCTTCTGAAGTCAACTACCAGTTCTTTTGTTTTGGTGGTATTGAGGTCCAGGTTGTTATCTGCACACCAATCTGACAGCCTCTGAACTTCAGCTCTGTATGCAGTCTCATCTCCCCCTGAGATGAGCCCCACCACAGTGGTATCATCTGCAAACTTGATGACTGTGTTGTCTGGGTGGGAACTAACACAGTCATGTGTGTACAGAGTGTACAGTAGGGGACTCAGTACACAGCCTTGTGGAGAGCCGGTGATGAGGCTGAGGGCTGAGGAAAGATGAGGCCCCACTCTAACTCTCTGCACACGGTCTGAGAGGAAGTCTCTGATCCAGCGGCAGGTGGTGGAAGGAAGTCCAATTTCCAGCAGTTTATCTATTAGTCTGTCCGGGAGTATCGTATTGAAAGCAGAGCTAAAGTCAACAAAGAGCAGCCTGGCGTAACGGCCCTGCACTTCCAGGTGAGAGATGGTGGTGTGGAGCGTTGTAGCAGGAAGTAGCTGTAAGTAATCTGGACGCTACAGCTTTAAGCAGCTGTGCTCCCGCAGACGGTGATCACGATCACTGTCTAGCACAACACCTGGAGCTCAGGGGGCAAAACAATCACATACGTGTGTTTTTTTCCTCAATAGTTTCGTCACGTTTATGAGGCGACTGCTGTCTCCGGGTAGAAACAGGAGTGACACACCTGCTGCTGTCAGACCTGCAGGCTGTGATGTTTCCTTTATAGTGGACAGAAATTATTTTTTTGGAGTGGCATAAATAATTTGTGTGACATCTTATTGAAGAACAGCTGATTGTTCTGTAAGTAGTTTGAAGAAATTGTTTAAAAAAGGTAAATGGCTGCAAATAACTTTGTTGTTTGCAAAACTTGAGCATATGATTTTAAAATTGACAATTTATATTTGTTATGAAATATGATTCATTAAACATGTTTGTCATTGTTACAGTAAAAATATAACTTTTTCTACTCGCATTTTATGTTTTTTGTCTGATTTTAGATCAGTTGTGTTAGTACATGTCTGTGAAGGTTCAATGAATGGCCAATGATACCTCGGACCCCAGAGGGTTAAACATTTTTTTTAAAAGTAACGCAATAGTTACTTTTCAAGTAATTAATTTCTTTTAGTATCTTGTAACTCAGTTACTAACTCAGTTACTTTTTTGAAGAAGTAACTAGTAACTATAATTAATTACTTTTTCAAAGTAACTTGCCCAACACTGGTAAATGGAAGCGGAGAAGATTCGGTGGCTGAGGCCGATCAACCCATAACAGAAGAGTCCTCAGGAAGACGCGGGAAAAGCAAACGCTGCCCCGAAGACGGCGTGGGCTGGGTCAAATGGAGACGGGCGTGCGAGCACATGGACCCCCTTTCTTTTGATATCTTTTTGGGGACATCAAATTGACATAATGCTTTCATGCTTACCCTAACCATCTGAACCTGAGTTCATAAACAAACACAGTGACTGATTTTACTGCCCATCATATGAGAACATGAGGCTAAAAAGTACTAAGAAGCTGCTAATTAAAGACCATAAGCTGACTAAAAGGAACAAATCATTTCTGCCTCAAGTGGCGATTACAGGAACTGCAGTTTTCTGTCAACCAAAGAGGCCACGCCCCTAATAATACAAACTTTGAAACTTTAATGAGTTTCTTAAAGTAATAGACACACCCAACCCGACCCCCAGTACAGCTGACAGTCGCCTCACAGCTGGGGAGCTCTTACTGACTGATTTTGGGGACAGACTATCCAATCAGGAGCCCCCTTTAAGCTCAAAGGGTGGTCCCTTTCTTCTCCTCTCGTTGGCTCCGGTTGCTTCGAAGCTCGTTCATGCGTTTATCCACAGCCTCCGCTGGCTGCGATGAAACTCCCAGTTTTTTCTCTCTAGTTCAGCAGAAGCCACTGCCACACACACACACACACACACACACACACACACACACACACACACACACACACACACACACACACACAGGTTGGCTCTGCTTTGTGCCACCTCGCTTTAAAAACGCTGGATACGCCCCTGCACAGGCATGTTGCAGAGTTATGTTTAACCCCCCCGCTGCTGTGAATGGACCAGTCCAGAGAGAGAGAGTGGTAGAGAGACTTAGAGGGGTAGTGGGCAGAGATAGTGAGAGGCGCAGTGCCGCTATCACCCAGAGCAGGTGGTGACGAGCTGCTGGATGTTTCTGACCAGCAGCGCTGACGCTCGCAGGTAAGATTCACCTTCGTGCTTGCCGTGACGAGTTACACGCTGTGATCGTGGGAGTTTCAGTGCTTCCTCCTGAGCAGCAGCTGTTTCAGCCTCAGCGTGAAGCTGATCCTGAGAGTCCGAGTCGCTCTCAGAGCTCAGGCGGATGCTGTTGGGTTAAAATGCGGAGTTTTTAGCGGGACGTTGGCCAGCTCTCTCGACGGTTGAGGTCGACCTTGTCCGGGGGAGCAGCCGCTGATCACGCCGGGCTGCGGTGCGCGTCCGCCGGACACAGAGACAAGCTCCTCCCGGTGTTCAGTTATCTTTAAAGTCAGGATGATGAATACTGATGATGATGATGATGATGACGGTGTGAAATTATGTAAGAGGCTGCTGGAGAGTGAGCACGCGGAGGAGAGGAGGAGGAGGGTTTATGTAACACTCCTCCTCATCCAGCATCGCTCCGCCGGCCGGCCTCCACCCTGAAGTCCTCCACACATCCCTGTCTTCTCCTCTCTGAGCTTCTGCAACTTTCTTCTCACCAGAGACTCAAAAGTGTTTCTATTCGTTTCTCTGATTTATGTCTCCGGGATTTCTCACTTCTGCTGGTTTGTTCCCACTGGTTTTGGTTTATTCACGTGTCTTTATCTTTGCTCTGTCTCCGTGTCTCCTGATCTGTCTCGTCTTGTATTTCTTCTGTTCCTTCCTGTCCTCTTGTCCAGCTGGATTTCTCTGCATGTCCGGTCTCATTCCTGTGGTTTGCTCTCTGGATCTCAGCTTCTATCAGTTTCTCTTGATTGATCCTGATCGGTTTATGTCGCTCCTTTATCTCAGTTTTTATCTCTGGTGATTTCTCTTCTTCTTTATCCTCAAAGCCAGATTCTGTCTCGGTCTTTATAAATCTGTCAGTGAGGTCACCCCACACAGTATCTCAGTTTATCTCTGTGTATTTCTGTTTCTGGCTGTACCTTTACCTCCCTCCATGTCTCTCTGTCCACATTTTAATCTGTTTTCACGCTCGATGGCTCGTGTGTGTGTTTCTGCAGTAAGAACTCAGCGATCGCCGCCTTCAGCCTCTGAGTACATATTCATATTCATCTGTGTTTACACAGCCTGGTCTCTAAGAAATCACCATGGCAACTACAAAACGCTAACAGTAAGGCTTCAACATGCAACCAATCGGTGACCTCGCCTTAGCTATGTCCATCTTTTATGTACAGTCTTTAAGACGGAGGACAGACCTGAGGAGGTGCGTTTGATTGTGGAGGTGGAGTGTCCCTGTGTCTGTTCATGTGCAGAACGATGATGGATGACTGTTTGATCACGTGACCTCAGCAGAGGTGTGGGAAAGACGCGTAGTCATGGAAACAACAGGAAAACAGATAGATGGATTTGAAGCGACTTGTTTAAAATCTGAGCGTTTTTTAACTGTGTGTGATGCTGAATCTAGCAGTGGTGAGGTTAAAGGTCAGAGGTCACAGCGCGCTGACGTGTCCGGCCCTCGCTGAACAGAGTGTGTGATGTAAACTGCATCAGCTCTCTGTGCTGCTGTGAATGATGAGCCTGCAGTCCTGAGAGAGCAGGAGAACACTGTGTGTGTGCGTGTGTGTGTGTGTGTGTGTGTGTGTGCGTGTGTGTGTGTGTGTGTGTGTGCGTGTGTGTGTGCAGACCTCTGAGGGCTTCGTGAGTTAAAGTGATGTTTGGGGTGTTTTGCACGCGTCTGAAATCCGAGCGCTCGTGTTTGCTGTGTCAGCGTGATCATCAGGGTCAGTGGGCGTGGGGAAGGTTCATTCACGGTGTGTCTGTTTACACCGTTCTTTGGCTACATGGAGTGAAGGATTCTGGGTAAGCAATAATATGACGTGGTCTCTGTAGAGCTCCAAAGAAACAACAGCACATGGCCTGACTGTGATGACTGCATGTGATGTGCAGGCTGGATTCTGATTGGTTTAAAAGTGAAACATGAAGAATCACCTTTTGTTTATTTTGAGTTCAGGCACCATCAGTGTTTCTTTAGCTCCTGTCAATGAAAATCATTCATATGTCAGAGTTTCTGTCAGGGTTCAAACCTGGTGTCTCTGATGTCACATGTGCAGAGCTTCAGGCTGCTCTGAAGAAGCTTCCAGTGTTCTTCAGCTGACCTTTTGCATATGAATCTAAACACAATTAAAATCCTCTGAATGCTGCTTTTCACTTGCCCTGCTGGATGTTTGTAGGAAGAGGGATCTGCATGAGGTGGCAACATATTACGGGATCAGTGTCTCCACTGGTCTACGCAAAGCGGAGTTGAAGGCCGGTCTGGTGTCTGGGTTATTGGAGAAGGGGGTGGTTGTAAGGCGAGAACCCCCGAGCACACCCGGTCCGGCTGGACGAAGTGCAGCGCCTCAGGTTCCAAGCCAGGCCGTAGAACCGTCAGTGTCTACACCTGTGGGCCAGGGGCTGCCCGAGGGCGGGCCAATGACGCTGTCCGGTTTTGATCTGCTCTCCACCCAGTCATCAGAGGGTTCTAAGCAGGATGCTAGGCTCAAAGTCCATCTGGCTCGTCTCCAGCTGGAAAAGGAGGGGCTTGAGAGAGAGTTCCAGCTGAAAAGGGAGATAGAGCTTAGGCGTTTGGACGCGGAACTGGCTAGGGCTAGGGAGGTTGAGCTGAAGAAGGTGGAGGCGAAGACTAAGGTCAAGCTGCGACAGCTGGAACTCCAGCAGGCCTCCTCCCCTCCTGTGGCGGCTTCGCTGTCACAGACAGACGTACAGTTTGATGTAGGAATGAATAGTCGTCTGGTCCCTGTATTTTGTGACACGGAGGTGGAGATTTATTTTGAATCATTTGAGCAGATAGCGACAGCCTTGCGTTGGCCGCGGGATGCGTTGGTCATCCTGCTGCAGTGCAAGCTGGTGGGCAAGGCACAAGAAGTTTGTTCCTCGTTGTCCGCTGAGTGCAGTTTGGATTACGACAAACTGAAAAGTGCAATCCTGTTGGCCTACGAACTAGTCCCTGAGGCTTACAGGCAGCGATTTCGGGGGTTGGAAAAAGCTGCAGGGTCAATCCTTCCTGGATTTTGCGAGGGAAAAGAGTGTCCTCTTTGACCGATGGTGTATGGCCTGTAAAGCTGCAGACCTAGATTTGGTGCGGGAGTTAATTCTCATTGAGGAATTTAAAAACTGCATCTCCGAGCGGATGGCAGTATATCTGAATGAACAGAAGGTCTCCACGTTGCAGCAGGCCGCGACACTGGCTGACGAGTTCGCACTCGTCTATAAAGCCAGTGTCGTTAAGCAAGAGCGACGCGACACCCTAGCGAAGGCTAGCGGTGCTAGTGGTGAACAAGGCACGAGGGGGGAGGTGCCTGGGCCTCGTCCCAGGTCAGACCGGAAATGTTTTTACTGTTTTAAATCTGGCCATTTAGTAGCAAATTGTAAGACCTACAAACAGAAACAGACAGTCTTGAGGGCTGGAGTGTGCCTGCTAACGAAGCTAATGCAGGCATGGTTTCAAGATCCAGAATAAAGCTGTTTCTTTTGCCACAAACCTGGCCACCTGATTGCTCACTGTTCAAAAGCAAAATCGATCTGCTTTCAAAAGAGTGAACTGTGGTTCACAAACGGGCAAAGTTGCCAGTCCTAGGCAACAATTGGAGCATAATCGCTCAGTGGTGTCATTTGGTGAATGTCAGAGGTCACCTAATTATGAGATGCCACCTGTTGACAATCTTTCAGGTCCAGATGACCTGCAGTGTGACACACTGTGTACAACACAAACATTCAAACCTGCACCTCTGACTAACCAGCATACCTGTCGCCCTGACCTAGCGAAGAAGCGTCTGAAAAGTGAAAGGCCTTTTAGCTGTTCGCTGGGTTCTCCATATGTGAAGGCTCAAAACACACCTGGCTGTCGCTTTGGACACTATTTTGAGGGACTTGAGCCATCGACCCATCAAAAAGGTCAGATTTGGCAGGCTATGCCTAACCGTTATTATGGTGCATGGTAAGTGATATGTTTAAAAGTTGGGTAGGACATTCTGTGACAGACCACTGGTTTGTATTTATGGAGGGGCTGTTACGGCCCTAGCTGGGCCCCCTGATACTGCCCTTGTGTGGGCGTGGTGTTTTTCTCCGCCTCCTCCTCTCTTGCTCTTTTTTATACACATATCCTGTCGCAGATTATTTGAATAACAAAGAAATTAAGACATAAGATTTGTATTATTTTATAATTGATTAAATTCAATATCTCAAACCAAGCACTGCATCTTTTTATGGGTGCTGCAAATATAAACAAAGCTTATATGCAGTGAATGTGTTTTTGCTATTACAACAATTATACAAACATATAAAGAACATTTAGCTTTTTTTCTCCCCCTCAAAATAGTCCTCATAAACACAAAAACCCTCCAGTTTACATAAGGTGACTGGGTAACGTGAACAAAAAATCCCAGCCTCGGATGTGGTCGCTCTTCTCGGTCAGGAAAAGCTTCACAGAAGACTTCCACATCCTCCAATCAACATTATGGAATCCCAATAAACTGTTCTGAGCTCCCGCTCGGAGGTCAGCATTTTCTTCTTCTGGAGTCACCTTGATGACTCTTCTAGCTTTCATGTGGGGACGTAACACTGTGTTTCAGTCATACACGACCGTGTGTGCGCTGAGCGTGGCTGCTCGTGTGTGTCTCGTGCAGTTAACATTCTCCTGCTGTCGTGGTTTTTGGGCTCTTGGTGGAAAATCATCTGCGTCTGTAAATCTTTCACATATCCAGAGGCGCACGCTAGTCTGTGGAGTCCTCAGAGGCGTCCCGTATGCTCGTAGAGTCCCTGAACGCCTCGCCGTGCTGCGTGGGCGCTCTTCTTCTCTATTTCTGGACACATGAGTCATCTTCACTCATGTTATACAACAGCAAGTTTGGGGCTTTGCTGCAGCGCGTACAGGAACCTGCTGGAGGTGCAGCTGTGAGCTAACGGCTGCGTTCGCTCTAATCTGAAGGTTTGTGTTGCAGCTTCAGCTCCTCCCCTGCGTCTGCCGCAGAGACGCTGGACGCCAGTCTGTTCAGTGATGGTGAGGAGTTTGATTCATTGTCTTCTTGTTGCTTCGCGGCGTGAGACCGTCGCCTTGAGCGCAGACAAACACTGCAGAGCTGTCACTGTCAGCGCGCTGAGGTCTGAGGGAGCCTTCGATTTTCCAGAGATCTGATTGGTCAGCCGGCGGTGATTTTGTACCTGCTGACCTCTGACCTCAGATCAGAGCAGGTTAGGTGTGCAGCATGACCCTGAACCTGTCACAGCAGATGGCCCCGCCCCTCCCTGAGCGTGCTCCAGTTTTTTGTTCCTACTCTCACCAAGTGCTCGCTCTCGGGAGCTCGTCTGATTGTCTCGTTGTATTACTGTGAAGCAGCAGCTTCCAGCTGTCACCCTCTGAGGGTCTGAGTCAGGGGGCGGGGCTCCTGACGCCTAACGTGACTTCAGGGACGTGTTGTGGTGTTCTGGGCTCCAGTTTAATCCTCGGGTTGTAAAAGTGCAGCCTGGTCCTTTAATACCACGACGGAGGCCTCGGCTCTTATCTGCGAGTGCAGCAGGGGGCCGAGGAGGCGACGGGGGGCTGTCGATGCTGTGAGGATGAGGCAGGGGGCGGAGCTGCAGGCCTTTAGGCTGCAGGAATTTTAAGTGTCGGCTGATATCCTGCAGCCGGGCGAGCTTCAGAACAACACGTTCAGAACGACCCCGACGCTTCACAGTGACCTGTTTTTATTCCACACAGCTGCAAATCAAACCTGTCACATGATCAAATAAAATATGGCTTCCTTAAAACAGCGAGAGAGAAGGACAGAAGGAACGAGTTAATGTTAAAGGAAAGGAAACTAGGACAGGAGGGATGGAAACAGGAAGCATGGAGAGGAAGGGAGATAAGCAAGGCAAGGGAAAAGAAAGGAAGGAGGTAGGAAATGGATAAAGGTGACAAAGAAGGAAATAAGAGAGTAGAGAGGGAAGGAAACAGTTAAAGAATCAAAGAAGGAGAGAGGGAACAGGGTGGAAAAAAGAGAATGGAAGGAAAGGTGGTAAGGAAAGAATGAGAGATATAACGAAGGAAACAGAAGTTTGGAAAGGAAATAGAAAACTTTAAGGAAGAGATTAAAAGGAAAGGAGGGAGGAAGGTAGCGAGAGAAGGAAGTGAGGAAAAAAGAGACACTAGCAAGGAAGCAAGGAAGGAAGGACAGAGCCTGCATAAAGACACACGAATAGATCTGACAGAAGAAGGGATGAAAGGAGGTGGTAGGGAATAAGTAAAGGATATGAAGCAAGGAAAGAAAGGGGACAAAAACAAAATGTTGGAGAAGGGAGAAAGGATGTAGGAAATAAAAAGGAAGCATGAATGGTAGAGATTTGGCAAAAAACAAGAAGATGAAATGAAGAAGGGAATAGGAAAGGGAGGGAGGAAGGAAGGATGAGTCTGGGTCTGTTCGGGGCAGAGTGTCAAATCTCCGCCTCAGAAACCTCACGAGGATCGGAGGCGAGACAGACGCTGGCGGGGCGCCGTAAAAACCAGCGTTTCCTGTTTGGTTTTATTAGTTTATCAGGAAAACGAATCCAAACTTTGACGTGAAGACGCAACAAAAACAGCTGATTTCATCTCTTCTTCTGCTGGAAATAAAGAAACGTTTAAACTTCCTGTCAGATCAAACACGCCACAGACACTGTGATGTCATCCGCATCGGCCAATGAGAGCAGCCGTTACATAAACGATGATAGGCTGGGTGTGGTCACGTCTCTGTGAGCGGAGATAAGACGCTGCCAACACACACACACACACACACATAAGCCTGTTCAGCTATCTTAGTGAGGACCTTCATTGACAGCTTGCCATCCCCAGTGTGTGAATGACTGAATGTGTAAAGCGCTGTACAAATACAGGTTATTTACCATAAATTTAGCATTTACTAGCCCCTTACCCTAACCATTAAAAATGAATGGCTAACCATAAACCTGACCATGACTTAATTGTGACACTAAAACCACATTCTGAGCCTCAAAAAGGCTTCAAACTTGTGTCCTCACAAGTGACTGTTGGTTCTGGTTAGAGATGGCACGATACCACTTTTTTATGTCCGACACCGATATCATAAATTTGGATATCTGCCGCTGCCGATATGAATCCAATTTAGTGTGTTTTTTAATCAATAAAACAGTTTTTTTTTAACATTTTGTATAAGTTCAAACTCAAGTTAAAAAAAACACTAAAGCTATTCTGTTATACCTGCATGTAAAAAAAAAAAAAAAATACACTGCACCCAAAATATTTCATAGTTCAGCAAAACTGATCAATCTAATAAACTTAAACCTGCTCCATCCTCCCTATTCTGGTATTTTAAAGAGTACTTAGCAGAAATATTAAACAACCTGACTAATAGGGTTGCAAACTCCCAGCAAAAAACTCCACCTTATGATGCTTAATCGACGTAATCAACTTTAATTTGATGCAGTGTGGAAAAATGCACAGAAATCAATTATTTTTCAAGAATAATTAAATAGATTCAACATCTTTCTTCAACAAAATTGCAGACTGCACAGATGGTACCTTCCCAAAGGAAAAAGTACTATAGCTTACTAGGGTATATTAGACTTAACAGTTACTATATACAGTAATGGACTTCTATACATCAGATTAAAACTTTGGGTGTAAGATTCAGATAATTATTTATTAAAAGCTCGACATTTTAAATGAGAATAAGAAAGAAAAGTATGTCTTTGTGCCCCCTTTTCCCAGTTAATGCCCTATCGGCCCCCCTGGCTAAACTTTGCTAGATCCGCCCCTGCACAGTTACCAGCGTCAGCTACGTAGAAAAAGATCCTCGAGTAGAAAGTAATATTAAATAAATTCTAACAACAGCTGATCAAGCTTAAACGTGCTGCTGTTGTTCAGCCGCTGGTTTCCTCTTTCTGGTGCAAAGTGGGCCAAAAACAAACAAGAGAGACGATCAGCTGATCATTGATCAGTTTCAAGTAGCAGCAAGAAGAGGCAGTCGCTCCATATATCGGTTGTTAAGCTTTACGTGGGAATGCTTTACAAACATTCAGAGACGAACTTACACACTTGCTTTACTTCTCTCTGGGATCACTTCCTCGGAGATGAAATGCTGGTTTGAGGCTACAAACACACACAGCCGCTCTATCACGTGAGCACACTGCTCCCACGTGCTACGGTTATGAGCCGAGTTACGCCGTGTCGCAAGTTTTGTGAGGTGCCAGTCTGTGTATCAGGCTGTTTAACATGGGAGTCTATGGGACTGACTCGCTGCTGCCCCTGCTGCACGTCAGAGGAACTGCAGGTTTTGGTGCTTCAGTGTTGGTTTCATTCTTTAGCCCTGAAGTTGCTGCTCAGTCTCTGAATCCTCTTTAAACACGTCTTCTTCTCTGTTAGATGAGTTGGTGTATCTGCTGACGTTTAGAGTCCGACTTCTTTCACTGAGAGCTCAGTGGATGTTTGAGGACCGTGAAGCTGTGACTCGGCACTTTTCAGTGTCTGACCCACTTCCTGCATCACGACTCGACACGAGGAGGGTCGTCGGTGTGGCTCTGAAACTGCAGCTTTCGATTGGATTGTTTTGTGCACCAAATGCATGGGACTCTTCATGTGGTTCTTTTACACATTTATTTGTGTCATTGCCTTAAAAGTTCAGACAGGAAGTACTTCCTTTGAGTTGTTTGTAGTTGGTGGATGTGTTTGTTGTTTATTTCTGACTGCACAGCTCAAAATAAGCCTGCCAGTGGTCTTCTGTCTGAAACAAGCTGTTTTAGCTCCTCCCCCTTTAAGCCACATTTCTACTGATTGGCCACCACTCTCAAACAGATTTGAGCAGCAGGTGAGTGCATCACGTGCCTTCATAAGAATATGCTTTTCTTTAAGACCAACAACAGAAATGCAGGATTCTGATGGAGGAAGCCGGAGAACCAACGCAGAGTCCACAGTGTTGGATTCATACCTGTGTTCATGTTAAACACACGCATGTCAAACTGCAGCCTTCAGTGTCCACATATTTGTGGTCCTGGCTGTATGAACAGTCACTAACAGGTCATTGATAATTAGCATCACTGAGACGATCCTCTGCAGCTCTGGGCTTAAAAATGGCTCCAGTGACATAAAGAGATGCTGTAGAAACATTTATTCCATTAAATATTACAGACGCGCTTCTGTGCACTCGTTTCTTCTTTCTCGCGCTCTGCAGACGTTTAACGATTTGTCTGGAAACGAGAAACAAAGTCACCGGCTCGCTGACCTCAGCGGTCGTCTCTTCTTCTCTGACTCTTTGTGTTTGGATGTAAATTATTGGGCTGATTTCTCTGAGAGGGTCGTTAGTGCCGGTCACCGGCTTATTACAAACAAACTGGGCCCCGGAGAACAAGCGGTCCTGCGATGCACATCTAAACCTGCCATTTGTGCCGACAGCATCTTTTATGTGAGCCGGGTTGCTGCTCGGTGCTGCATTCACCTAAAAGTCCTCAGTAAGACAAGCAGAAGTTTTCCTACAGTCTGAATTCTTCTGTTGCCTCGTTGCTTCGAGGCGTCTCACAGCTCCGACGCCGCCACATTTGGCACCAGCTCACAGTCCTGCGGCGGCCCGCTCAGGTCGCTGGTGTTGACGAGAGGACAGCTAACGTTCGTATCTGTGGATTAATGCGATTGTTTCGGTGTCAGTAACGAGTGTGACATCCTGGTGTGCCAGTCTCTGGTGCGAGCTGAGGAGCGTGTGCTCCCCTTCCTCTCGTCGTGTTTTCCATCCAGATGAAGGGAAGTAAAGACAAACAGATGCAGGAGGCGGTTTTCTTGGACTCTCTGCAGGAACTTAGTTTAAGCTCTCAGGCAGAGCGGCCGGGTGGGGTTTACCTGAGGCCGTGACCCCTGCTGTGTCACGGTGGTCTGACGGTGGGCGGTCCGCGTTGGTGCAGCATCTCTTTGTTTCTCTCTCCCACATTTGTGCCAGACGATTGGACGGCCATGTGCGGTAACCTAGCAACCCCTAGATATCTCCCAGCATTCCTCTGAGTTATCTCCTGTGTGTCCCGGCAGACCTGCAGAGCAAAAGAAACTCCCCCTCAGCCCGCAGGAGGCTGCGTTCGCTGTCTGCACCCACGGTAGGACAGCAGGCCGTCTTCGAGGATTTCATTTCAAAGTTCATCACCTGCCCGCATCATCGCTTAGCAACGACACAACGTGAGTCTGAAAATAGATGCAGAGCCTCAGCGTGAAGCTCCGCCTCTGCTCAGAGGTCCATTCAGATATTCGGAGGACTTTCCCCCGATGATGGGTCACACATGAACTGGCTGCATTTCTATTTTTAGCCCCTCACCTGCCGCCAGGCCTGCGCTCACCTGTCTGCTGCAAACACGTGAATCTGAAGGAGGCTGTCCGTCCTCGGAGCTCTCAGGCTCATTTGTGTCGTTCTCTCTTGTTTCTGCTGCTTCTTCTGAAATCACATCTTTGGTTTTGTTCCAGGAGACGCTGAGCTGATGGATTCGTGGTCCTGAGAAGGAAATCGGCAGAAATCGAACATGTAAGTTGATGTTTTTTAATAAAGATCTTTAAATTGTTGCTGGTCTGACGTGTCTGGCAGTTTATTACAGAGGTGATCCATCACAGTGATCAGCACGCACTGACTGAGCTGATACCTGACTCCTTCACCTTATTGATCACAGTATTGATCACCAGGAGTCCTAGACTGTAATTAAACTCTCTCCAGAGACACTGATCTCTTTCTTGCCTTGAATTTGCTTTTTAATAAATGAAGGTCAGAGAGTGAACAACAAGCAACAGCTTGGTTATCAAACTGCATCCAGCTTTGAATGGGAGCATCACACAGACTCAGATACCCTCTAAACACCAACATCCAATGAAAATCCTAGAATTTATGTCAAAGGAACCAGAGCTCCGCCTTCCTGGACGCTCTGTTAGCAGCCATATTATTGGTCACATGATGTCATTAAAAAGCTCCAAAAGGCTCCAACAGCACGAACACAGTCCACAGGTCCAGTTCAGGTGAAGCTAGCAGACAGCTAGCAGCTACAGCCACCTGTCAGCCAAAGAGGCCACGCCCCTAACTTTAAGCCTCAGTACGATTCAAACAGGTGAGTCAAACAGGTGTCACGAAGGAGGAAACTGTCCACAGAGACAAACAGTTTGTGTATCCAGCTGTAAACATGTTTGTTTCTGCTGTAAAGTTTTAACATGAGTATGGGACTGACTCACTGCCGCCCCTGCTGGATGCTGGAGGAACTGCAGGATTTGATGCTCCAGCGTTAGCTTCATTCAGGCCCAGAGGTCCCTGCCTGGTTTCACTCTGCTTATTCATCATCATCAGTGATACTGGACACCAGCAGAGATCAATACTGGGAGGGAGGATGGGTCAGAGATCGCCCTGTCTGAACAAAATCTGTGAATCCCATCATAGAGACACACGATACGTCTTTATTGATTCAGCTCAAAGTCTCGTTCACATCACAAACCTCCTTTCAACAGAGACCCAAGAGTGCAGCAGCACTGTAACAGGTATACAAATGATACATGTTGTAACGTGGAGACACAAATGTAGAGACAACAGCTGGATGGTCACACAGACCGTGACGTGGGCTTAAAACGGGCTTCAAATCCTCCATCGTCAACACTGCTGTGGATTATCCCAGGAACCAGGGCAGCGTCTGGAACAGCTCTTTGTACCTGATTCTGTTCTGACTTTAAACCCAACTTAAGCTGAGTTTAATGGGACAGAACAACAGCAGAGGATTTTCAACTCTGAAGGACAGAAGGGTAGAGGACGTGAAAACTTCCAGAAACTTCTTCAGAAATGATTTAGAAATGTGAAAGTCTGAATCATGTCTGACGTAACTGGTGACAAACTGAGTAAATGTTGACAAAAATGTCATTTTATAGTTTTGAAACTGCTGATAAAGATTAAGAATACTTATTTAAAACAAACTTTTTGTTATTATTCAATCCGAGAACTTCACGTGTTAATTTACAGATTTAGAAACGTATAAAAGTCTCACTGTTTAGTTTCCTGCTGCATCTGATTATATTGGTGAGAACCAGTAAAAAATAAAGTGTTAATATTATGATCATGAGTTTGTCCCAGCGACACCTCTGTTTGTGTTTCAGGTGCTGAAGAGACCCGAAGACGAACAGACATGATCCCTTTATCTCCCTGAGGTAACCCCACACACACACACACACACACACACACACACACACACACACACACACACACACACACACACACACACACTCTGCTGGCTGACCGCTTGTTACCCAGGTTTCCTTGCTCATGTGTTTGTGTGTGTGTGACAAAGCTGTGGACTCTGGAATAATCCCTTTGTGTCCGTCGGCCACGTCAGACAATGCCGGACTGGAAACCCTGCAGCTGCTGCAGAGCGCTGAGTGTCAGTAATCTGACAGCACGCCGTCATTTAGAGCTCATTTCATTTGTGATCTCAGTGCAGAGGCCCTGGGTGTGGTCAGCCTGGCAGCTGTAGCACAGCGGTCTCCTGCACATGCTCTGTGAAGGCTGCTGTTAAACAGATAACGGCTGGTGAGCAGTGAGTCTGAATGGCTTTCAGAGCCATGTTTGTTTCTTTAGCGTCTTTTTCTGCATTTCCCTGATTTATAAGGCTTAATCATTAGATATGAGCCCCTCTGCAGGTTTTCTGGAAATTGGGAGGTGTCTTGTTTTAGCCGGAGGATGAGGGATGCACCAAGGCCCAGGACAGGATAGAGAAGGATCCACAGGGTCACAAATAAGAAACGAGGTGTGAATCTCGTGCCCTCGTATGGTTTTTGTCTCACAGCCCTGACACGTGGAGGCGTTCCCCACGCCGGGGAGTTATTGACCCTGTGCACGAGAAAATGCTAACTTCCTGGTTTGAGACCGGATGTGGGGTTGTACATTTCCGGTAGCTTTACTTTGCGGTCAATCGCTTCTGCAAAGATATATCCTCCACAATCATGTCCAAAACTTGAAAATGGAAAGATGGTGTTAAGTTACAAAGAGAAGGTGGGAACACTCACCGCTGCTGTGTCATAAAAAATCTAATGATCAGTTTAAAGAGTTTAGATCGATCAGCTGTTTACATCACTCAACACGAGCAGAACTGCATCACTGCAGCAGAAGACACATCGTCCACATGCAGAAGCACATCTCTGTGTAGTGACTGGTCTCATGATCTAAACAGGCAAATGTTCAGCATTCAAACTACAGGTGAAGAACAGTCAAACCAGATGTTTCCCCCGTTATGTCGATATCAGCTAGTCAAGTACACACCTACACAGCATATTAACAAACCCTGAAAACAGCCACACAAAACGAATGATTGTAATGGTTTCTATACATTAGTATGTAGGAAGGGTATGTTGTGACTTACCTTCAAAATTACAGCGGTCCCTCGCTATAACGCGCTTCACCTTTCACCTCGCTGTTTCAGATTTTTTAGTGCAAGTTTGCTGCTTATTTTTACAGCACATTGTGTCCTGCGTCCTGATCGCTGCAGACGATCTCCTCCGTGACGTCTCTCCTGTACAGTCCAGAATCGCTGCATCGATTGTTAACAGTGTGACTCTGCAGTGCAGCGCTGTATGTCCACGATGTCCCCCAAACGTTTTGCATCGTCAAAAATAAAATCGGCTCCTTGATTTCACCTCTCGCTGGTTATTTTTAGAACATAACACCCGCGATAAACGAGGGACAGCTGAGAAATATAACATTTGAATCCTTTTCTCTTTTGCTCTGAGGCGCGGGGGAAATATCAACAAGTCGATGAACATCATTTACAGATATGTTGGGTAAATGCCCAAGACATCTATAGAGATGTAAATCGCCACTTGATTCATTCATTTGCTTGTTTTGGACCGTAAACCAGGCGCGAATACGACACCGGAAACAAAGCTCCCCACAGGAGTTTCCACACCGGAAGTAGCATATGCTAACGTGCACACAGTCAATCTACTGTTCGTATCAGCGCGAGGCTCTGCTCAGTGTGGGCCTTTCTATCACAGACAGAAACACTGATGCACAGCAGCACACAGTAAAAGAACAAAAAAGGAGATTGTTGTCAGACTCATGTTTCATGTGTGGACCAGAGCAGCTGATACACGTGTTGATGTGAGAAAGGTTGGTGGAAAGTTTCCCATGATGCCTCACTCTTTCTGGCCTCTCCTGCTTTGTCATGCTGAAACGTCTGACTTGTTATTCTTTATTTAACATCATGTTTTGTGTGTCTCCTTCAGGAACTGACCAATCAGTAGTCAGGATGATGCCCAAGGTAAACCACACGTTTCTTTTGCTGATAGTTGTCGGGGGGGAGGGGGGGCGTGTTGTTGAGATGCTGCAGCGTGACGATGTTTCTGCTGAATGATCACGATGCTCAACGATAAAAACCAACAAGCGTTCTCCTGGTGGTTCAATAATGATGTTCCTCCACATGAGAAGCGTGTCAGCTCAAAGATGAGTCGATGTTTGGTGTTGAAGTCCAGAGGTGCACGAGGAGGCGATGCTGAAGGGAGGATTTACATCTGGGGTGGTTTTTAATTTAACAAATAAAGTCACAGAACAATTCCAGCTTGGAAATAATAAAGCTGACAGAAGAAGCAGAACAGTGAGGACGTTTCTCCTGCTCCTTTAGGAAGGAAAGGTTCAAGTTAGGCTCTGGGTAAGAGGCAGTAATAGTCCTCACAAAGACACAAGAACAAGCGCGTGTGTGTGTGTGTGTGTGTGTGTGTGTGTGTGTGTGTGTGTGTGTGTGTGTGTGTGTGTGTTAGCAGCAGCTGGCGCAGACGTCTCCGGGGAGTGTGTTGTCGCTCAGAGGCACCAGCGTCCCAGGATCCCCTGCTGCTGCCATCGTGGTGAGATAAACACACCGTGATCGCGCTCTCGTACCCTTCAGATTAATCTGGAGGTAATAATCTGTAATCCCCCCCCCCTCTCCCCAGGCCAGAGTGGAGGACGGGGTTATCGGCTATAAGGACTTGGCAGCCTTACCGAGAGACAAAGCCATCCTGGACATCGAGAGACCCGATCTGATGATCTACCAGCCGCACTACAGCTACAGTCCTCTGGAGGTGACGTCTCCCTCCGGTCATAGTTTAGAGATTCCTGCTGACAGCTACACTGGTGCTCTCTGGACGTCCTGCCTGATGGGGGCGCTGTTTAGATGAGGCACCGTGTGGAGCTCTGGCCTGGAAACATGTTCTCTAATATTATCCTGTTTCAGCTGAAGAGGTGGAGCCGATAGCTCCAGTTTGTCATTATTAGCGTGTTCTAACGTCACTGCAACCAACCGCCACAGTCAGCTGCGTCTTCTGCACGCGTGCTGGAGTTATTGTTTCAAAGCAGGCGTTTAAATACAGTCAGATCTTAATATCATCCTGTAAAACTGAAGCACATCACTGATGCTGGATTTGTAAAACAAAACAAGACAAAATTATTTGTTGTTGTTTTTTGTCTTAATGATTATTTTAGCTGTTTAGCTTCATTCACTCCTTTTTAGTGAGGACTGTCTCGTGGGCGCCCCCTAGGTGAACTGCAGCCGGTGGGTCTGACGGGAGGAGACTCTGGAGCGGGCGGTGGCCGTATCATTGTTTAGTCATCGTGACTGTTTCTTCTTCACAGCTACAGATACTAAAGCTCAGATGTCCTTAGTGCATCTTTTGGTTGCTGGTTTGACTTTTCACAAGCAGCACGGCTCCGACATGCAGCTCAGAGACGACTGAGACGGATTAGAAGTCTTAATTCTGAATGAGCAGGCGTTTGTAGAAGCTATTATTTAACTTTGAGTTATTTAAATGGTGCAAATTTACTAAAAACTAAGTAAAGTGCAGATCCTGCTGGTTTCACTGTCCTTATAATGCAGCGTGTGATCAGATGTTTATGTGTAGCTAAATGCTACAGAAGCATTTAGCATCTACAGGGTCGGGGAGCTTGTAAAGTCCTGTTGTTCCATAGTTTCTTCTCGGTGCTTCCGGGACCTTTGTAGCTCAGCGCAGAGCCGGAGTCGTGGAAACCAGACGGCGTGGCAGCAGGTCGCTGCTCTGACAGTCGGCTGGTTAGCTCTGCGTCTGGCTGCAAACACGGACATCAATCTGCTGCTTAGAGAGCTGACAGCTCATGAAAACAGCTGAGCCCAGTGTGTGTGTGTGTGTGTCTGTATTTTGTGGTGCAGATTGGGTCAGACAAAGAGAGATTGTGTGTCAGAATGCTTTTTGTGTTTTGTGTGCTGCACCTTCTTTCATCTGTTTTGTGGGGTTTTCGGTTGTTTTCCTGTTTTTGACTGTCCAGCACAGCGATCAGTGATTTCAGTCACAGTCTTGTGGTTACTGCAGACTGATGACTGAAACAAACAAAAGGCACTTTTTAAGCTCATGACACACGTTTGCTGCAGCTGTTGTCACAGCATTCAGACTGCACAGGTCTCCCCTGAAAAAGCTCCCGTTTGTTTTTAACAGCAGAGCCAGCCGAAGGAGGAGACTTCAACAAAGAGCTAAATGCTAAATGTTGATCATCTGCATATAAATGCACATTTACCTAAATGCGCCCCCTGCTGGGAGCCTTGTGGCCACTGTTTAAGTGCAAAGACTGAATTCTTTTAAGGAATCTGATTTCGGAGCTTCAGGTCTTCGTCTGCACTGCTGTCATCATCCAACTCTTTCTTTACTCTAAACAAATGCTTCTCTGATTTATGCTTCACATCACGTTACCGTGAAGCATTTCTGTGTCTGGATTTAATCGTTGGGTGTAAAGAACACTGCCACCTTCAGGTCAAAGTGTAAATTGCAATGTAATCCTCTAGAATTGACATTTGGTGCAATCGTTTAAAAAAAAGAAACGACTTCAGTGTCAGAAGCAGAGTTTGTGTTTGTGGAGCTTCGTCTTCATTCTCTGAATTTATTTTTAGCTTCGAGCGTTTCATCTATTTTTGCTTTTTTCTCCCCAGAGGTCCTTGTCTCCTCGCTCCATCTCTCCTCCTCCCTCCCCAGAGGTAAGACCCCCCCCCCCATTCTTTCTTTACATATCATCATATAGTTTATATTAGTTTCTTCCTGTTTACACTCAGAGACCTCTGCAACAAAACAAGCACTAGTGATGAGGTCAAAGGTCAGATCAGAGCCCTACAATGAAAGTGAGATATGGAAATGCAGACAATATAGGGTCTCATGACAGAAGCAGATCTCAGATGCTTTGTGGGCGTGTGACTGTGATGGGTTGTTATTAGCACAACATCGTCCTGTTGTTGTCTCAGACCAGCTTCTGTGAAAGTGATCCTGACGCTGAAGCATCTCAACATTAATGTGGTTCTGTTGGCATGTTTAACGAGGTTGTAGTCAGGAACATAGTGGAACCTCAGAAATGATGATGTCAGCGAGGAGGTCGTATACATCCCAGTGGTCACTGAGAAGGTTTGATGCTTCTTTTACAGGTTTCAGCTTCTAAACAACCTTTCGAACAGTTTAGGGATGATGTGTGTGAAGTTCTTTGTTTGAGGCTTACGAGGCTGCAGTAATCGGTTCGGACGGCATCCTTCCAGGCATACTCAGATTACTTAGAGTCATATTTTGGGTAGCTCTTCTTCACACTGACTCTGTTGGTCATTTAGAGCATTGACGAGGGGCGTCCTAAGAGTCACTGCGTTTCTTTTAAGGCTGTAAAGTGTTAGTTCAAGGAATCCTCGAGGAGGTTGAAGTCATGTGAAGTAGTTTCTCATAAGTTATCTTTAAACGAGGCTCTAGTTATCAATCAGGAGATCCTAAAGGTCTCTTAGGTGCTTCTACTAACACTAAAAGAGGTTCTTTGGTTAATGAGGGACGACCGTGTCTTCAAGGTTTACTCTGTAAAGGTTCAAGAGGCCTCCAATTCTGATTGAGGACCATTAAGTAGTGGTAGTAATGGAGGAGGTCTTGCTTTGATGGTCGTATCGATGCAGTTGGCATCATGTCTTAGAAAGTCCTCATGGGGATGCCCTGCATGTTCATTAGAAGGTTCTGAGGAGGATCACCGGCTCTGCCTTCACATTTCCCCACCGACACGCTTTTAAAATACCGTCCTCTGTGTTTCCAGAATCTGTCCAAGGAGACAAGGGAGTGGCTCGAGAGCCGATCACCTGGAGGGTCCTCGCCTGGTTCCACCATCCCGAGCACCAGAACCCACAGCACACACACCCCGTCAACGCCAAACACACCAACCACACCCAACGCACACTCGTCTGGTACTGTGAAGAGCACCGTGCAGCATTTCCACAGGCCAGGTAAACACGAGCTTCCACAAGCCGGACTCACCCCACTGACTGTGGGGAACAGTACTGAAGGGTGCAGATGTAGCTCCATCAGCTAGGTTTTCACCCAGTTAGCAACAGCATCTCCATCAGGTGACTTATTTCTTCAAACACGTGTGTTTACCCTGTGGGAGGGGCTACAACGAGAAATTCAGAGATTCCCAGATGAGCTTCAGTGATTCGTCAGCACAGCATCCACGTCTGAGACGTGTTAGCCGCTAATGTCAGGACCAGAAAAGACAACTATTGGGATTATTAGTTGATTTGTGAGCAGTGAAACTGAATTAGAGTTTGTGCACACAGACCGCCTCCAGATGCTGATGACGTTTGGTCCACATCTGGAGTTCTCTATGTCCCACTGTGCTGACTAAGAGAGTCCAGTTTGCACCGTACATGCACCACCAGTCAGGTGTGCTGTGATACTTGGACCACACGTCATTAACCAACGAAAAGATCTGCACCTGAAACTCAGTCAGACCCAAGAAGTGCAACAAGTCCCAGATGTGCCGTCCTCTGGAGCTCATGTTCACCCTGTGAACCAGTAATTATTGATTAGCAAGCAAAGAAGAGCACAGGTGTCACGCATGTGATTTTATTGTTTTCAGAAAATGGTACCAACATCTACAAGAAGCCTCCCATCTACAAACAGGGTGAGTCACTGAGGTTCAAATCGATTTCAGAATAAAAGCTGCAATAAATGTATCGCTGAACATAATGAAAACAGAGTGAATGTGGGTCAGCTGCTGTCCTGTGAACAGCACGCCGCCTTTCACTGTGTTTAATCTGCTTTAACATGCACACTGTGTGTGCGTGTGCGTGTGTGTGCGTGTGCGTGTGTGTGTGTGTGTGTGCACAGATGTGTCGTCCTCTTCGGTCCCTCAGGGGAAACACATCGAGGATTTGATCATCGAGTCTTCAAAGTTTCCTGCAGCTCAGCCTCCAGACCCGAACCAGCCCTCCAAGATCGAGACCGACTACTGGCCCTGCCCCCCCTCGCTGGCCGTGATTGGTATGACCCAAACACACACACACACACACACTCGTGCTTTCATATCTTAGTGAGGACATCTAAGTGACACGATGCTAGCCGCTCACTCTGGCCTAACTGTAACTCTGACACTTACACTTTGAGCCTCAAACATGCTTCAGACTCGTCAGCATTTAGTCCCCACAACTATAGTTGCATGGCAATTTCTGGTCCTCACAATGATGTTTAAACAAATGCATACATACACACACTCTGATCAATGAGACGCACCTTGTGCTACATTTACAGCTCATTACGAAAGTGGGATTTTCCAGGTTTTCATCTAAAAATCACGTCTGGCTTTAAATCCTGATTATTCCTGCTTCTTGTCACGTATTCGTCTCACCGTTCCCTTGGCTCCTCTCTTCTTCTCTCCTTTCCATAACTCCTCTCCTCTCAGCAGAAAAGGAATGGAAGAGGAAGGAGCAGAAAGTCGAGGAGGAGGAGGATGGAGAGCTGGATGATGAGCTGTGGGGACTCAGAAAGCTTCAGAAGCAAGAGCTGAACAAGGTGGGAGACCCGGAGCCAGCTGCAGGTGCAGATGAGCTGCAGCAGTTTGAAGTTGGTCAGGAATCACCAAAAATCACCTTCACTGTCAGAAAAGCAGGAAACAAGAAGCTGCTTTTAAAAACTCTGACAGTACGATGAATAAAGCATGAGGACTGCTGCTGCGTCAGCTGCTGCTTGGTTGGTGGGAGACTGAAAACACTGACTTCATCATGGAGATCTGAATGTGTGCAGAGATAATCTGTGCACGGGTTAAACAGCTTTAAGTGTGCTTTCACTGTCGTGTGTATCCTTTAGAGGCATGGCTCATTTCAAAATAAAAGCCACGTTTTTCCTGAAGAGCACTTCAGCTCCGTCAGAAACGTCTGTTTGCAGAATCGGCTGTGTCACTCTGCACGTCCCACAGACTGTATACAAAAGATGAACACGAGCCGTTGTTCTGGGCACTTTGCATTTTGCTGTCTAACGTTGGCTCCTCTTTCGCCTTTTTAAAAACGAGATGTGACCACGAGAAGCTGGAGGGCGGAGTCAAACACAGAGACCCGCTACTCAGTCAAATCCTCGAATTTCTCCCAACAGCTGAGCTCAGTCTGCTGTGACCTCACAGCAGCCATGTTATTGGTCACATGATGTCATTAAAACACAGAGGTCCCGTTCAGGTGAAGCTTAGCAGACAGCTAGCAGCTACAGTCACCTGTGTCACCATTCACCTGTCAGTCAAACAGGCCACGCCCCTCAAACTTTAAGCCTTAATAGGATTTAAACAGGTGAGTAATAAACAGCTGTTATGAAGGAGGAAATCCCCCACAGAGACAGAAGAGTCGGTGTATCAGGCTGTGAGCATGTTTAACATGGGAGTCTCTGGGACACTGCGCCCCCTGCTGGACACCAGAGGAGCTGCAGCGTGATTCTTCAGACCTGGAGGTTGATGTTTGGTCCTCTTCAGCTCTTATCGCGTGTTAGCTCGATGCTGAAGGGTCTGCTTCGGTGGAAGGAAAACGATCCCTGCGTGAAACTGCTCGATGCATTTTTCATTATTATTGTCTTTCTCAGACATGTGCAGATGTTGGGAAGGTTACTTTTAAAATGTTTTCCACTACAGATTACATGCCCCAAAATGTATTCTGTAACATATTCCGTTACGTTACTCAATGAGAGTAACGTATTCTGAATACTTTGGATTACGGGGCGATCGTGGCTCAAGAGCTGGCAGTTCCTCTTGTAATTGGAAGGTTGCCGGTTCGAGCCCCGGCTCAGACGGTCTCGGTCGTTGTGTCCTTGGGCGAGACACTTCACCCGTTGCCTACTGGTGGTGGTCAGGCCCGGTGGCGCCAGTGTCTGGCAGCCTCGCCTCTGTCAGTGCCCCAGGGTGGCTGTGGCTACAATGTAGCTGCCATCACCAGTGTGTGAATGACTGAATGTAGTGTAAAGTGCTTTAGGGTCCACAGGATTAAGTAAAGCGCTATACAAACGCAGGCCATTTACTTAATATATTATTATGCTTTTTACAACTACAAGTCGTCTTCTGTTTCTGTCTCGTGTCAGATTCAGTCTAATCTGGGCAAAATCATCCTGAAGGAGGAGCTGGAGAAGTCTGCAGCGCCTCTGAGGAGGAAAACCCGCTCTTTACCAGAGCGCAGCCACAACGCCGGTACACACACACACACACACACACACACACACACTTGACATTTTTTGCGTTAGGTACAGATTTCAGAAAGAAAATACAAAAAATACAAATAAAACACAAAGAAATATAAAATAAGTAAGATAATACACAGTATGTGATTATGGGTTTGGTTGTGGAAAATATGCAAGACATAAACTTTATAGCTTAACATAACTATTCTACCACTACTTTGTGGAGACCAATAGTCACTCATGGTGACAAAGACGTCACAAAACCACAAAAATATCATTTAATACGAAGAAAATTTGCAAAGTCGAAGGAGTCTAAGCGCTGTTAGTAAAAGTATCTGAACCTGAAATTCTTCTGATTTTATGAGCGTCACTTTTCAGAAAGTAAAGTGAACGAGGAAGTAAAATTTCTAAACAGCAAAACATTTTTAAAGTTTATCAGTTGTTGTAACTTTTGGTGCAAATTAAAAAACTGCAGTTTTAGTGTTTCAGGTTCAGATTTCAGTGAAGGCATCATGATGCATCGTGGAAACAGGAAGTGATGTCACCTGGTCACAGGTGACTGTCGTGACCTTTCAGAACAAAACATCTCCAGGTGGAAGGACTGATGCACATGTTGTGTAGCGTTTCCTTTCCCCCTCACAGCCCCTCCCCTCTGCTCTGCAGGGTCCAACGCCTCCAGGTCCGTGTATTTCCCAGCGCCCTCTAAGAGCGGCCTGTCCAGGGTGAGTATCCGCACACTCGCTGTGAGGTTTGACAACGAAGTCGAGCGAAGACAACAATCTGTTTGTGTTTGTTTGCAGCTGCGCTCGGCCGAGTTCAGCTCCTCGGAGAAACCTGCTGCAGGTACAAACGTCCGTCATTAAAGCTCAGGTTCAGGATTTTACAGGTGTAGTTGTACACCTGTAAAACTACACCTGTGAAGTATTTTAGCATTTTGTGCTGAAAATTGAACTTGTACATCAGCACAAAACGTCCATTCTCAGACTCGACTTTTTTCCTGCATCAGTGAACTCGTAACAGAAAATAATTAAACTGTTTGTGTCTCTTTGTGTCTCTGCAGGGCTTCAGGTACACTTTCCATTATTTTAACCTTGTTTGCAGAAACTCCTGATGAATAATTGGTGCCGGTGTTCATCATACTGTTTGTTTTTGTGTCAGAACGGGGACTCGAGGATGGACAGAGGGAACTCTCTCCCCAGCATGCTGGAGCACAAGGTACAGAAAGTAGAGCTGCCGAAGCTCTGCCAAGCTACTCTTGGATCTTTATGATGTCATAGAGGGTATCTCTGAGCGTCAGTGTGAGATAAAGAAGGATTATTATGAACTGTCACTTGTGCAAAGCTGCCCTTATAGAATAAGAATATGGAATGAGCAGGGCGGATGTATTAAACATGTCCTGTTTCCACATAACTCAGGCGCAGCAAGCAGATGGTAAAATGGCCTGCATTTGTATAGCGCTTTTCTAGTCCATAGGACCCCAAAGCGCTTTACACTACATTCAGTCATTCACACATTCACACACACATTCACACACTGGCGATAGCAAGCTACATTGTAGCCACAGCTGCCCTGGGGCGCACTGACAGAGGCGAGGCTGCCGGACACAGGCGCCACCGGGCCCTCTGACCACCACCAGTAGGCAAACACGGGGTTAGTATCTTGCCCAAGGACATTTGGCATGCAGCCAGGATGCAGCCTGGGATCGAACCACCGACCTTCTGATTAGTGACTGACCTGCTCTGCCACCTGAGCTACAGCCACCCAGATAAATGTGTGAGGCTGTTTCGTCCCATCAGCGGGACACGAGGACAATGTGGTTCTCACGTCATGTCTCCTCTGCGTGTCTGCGTGCAGGTTTATCCCTACGAGGTGCTGGTGGTGACTCACAGAGGACGCAGCAAACTGCCCCCCGGTGTGGATCGGACACAGCTGGAGGTAAAAAAATGACAAACAAGACCAAGTCTCTGTCGGTACGACTCGAGCTGCTGAACCTGTTCTGATATCAAACCACATCGTTATCGATATCCGGTCTTTTAGTCTGCTGTCATCAGCTGTTTCCAGGTCCAAACTCCGCTTCAGGTCCCAAAGTCACACAAACACTGCAGCATCACTGAGAGTTAAAAACTGTCTAAATTCTTTCATCATTAATAAAACGATCAGCGTTGCTGCTTTACCAGGTGTAACAAAGTTTAACATCCAGGCATCCATGAAAGCAGGAAGTTAGCTCGCTAGCTTCCAGCTAAACATGATATAGCATGTCCTGACTGAGAGATTTCTGAAAAATTCAAACGTACAGCTCTGTTATCACTTCCAACATAAATGAAGACAGAAAACTAAACAGCAGTGATGTTTGTAGTTGGGCTAGTTGGTATATAATGTTGTGCTACGTGATCGCTAGCTACACAGCTATGTTAGCATAACATTAGCACAGTGAAGCTGGAGGATGAACGCTAACACTTTTCCACTCGATAAAAGTTAACGTGAAGGTTCCTGATGGTTAGAGACAAATACAGTCGCAAGGCAGGATGCTGTAAACGGACCAAACTTCAGTCAGGAGAACAACTGAGATAATTCATCTACAATACGAGGTTAGTCATTAATGTACTGCTGCAGGGGCTGTAGTTACAGCAGAAGGGTTTAAACACTGAGCTTTAAAATGATTAGCGGCAATAAAAACTGAGAGAAGCCGACAGTGATCACTGACTGTTTCAGATTAAATAGAACAAGATACAAAACATGTTAAAAACACAACAGCCTTCATAAACTCAGAGTAGCTCGGACCAAAGCAGGGTTCATACGTCATCACTTAAAGACCGGACAGAGTCATCCAGGGTCCAGGGCGGGCCGTCACATCTCAGAAAATTCTGTTTTATATAATTAAACATTTATTGAAATTGACTGAGCGAGAATGTTTCTTCCTCTTATCTTTAAATATTCTCAGATGATCGACTGCTGGCTGTTTAGGACCACAACGCTAGAATCATATTTAATATTTGGCAGCTTCGTTAATAAACTCTTTGATGCTCGACGACCTTGGGTTGTTTTAGACGCAGCGTGGGGTCGGTGCAGGGTGAAAAATGACAAGTGCCTTCTTTGTTCCCGCTCTCTCTCTGATTGTGGCTGTCTCTCGCCCTGCAGAGGCACCTCTCTCAGGAGGAGTTCTTCAGTGTTTTCGGGATGTCCATCGAGCAGTTCGATCGCCTCTCCCTCTGGAAGAGGAACGACCTGAAAAAAAAGGTCTGTCTCTTCTGAAGCTGCTCGCCTCACAGTCCCACGCTTCCAGCCGGCGGGACGCGGAACCAAACGGACTCCGAGCGCCATCATCAGCCGACACCCTCACTTCAGTTTTTAGACACCTCAGGAGGCTTCAGGTTTGCAGAGAAACATGAGTGCTGCACACATTAACGTCACCGTTTATCTGCAAAACGTTAGCGATGAAGGACGGAGCGAGCACAAATAATACATCACAGAACGAGGACGAGTCTGCGGTCTGTGGCGGTTCGTGATGGGTCAGCGCTCTCACAAGACCCTCTGAACCCCTGCATCCCAGCCACAGTCGGACAACCGGCCAACATTCCTGCTGACTCCGAGCCAGCTCCTGGACTGACGAACAAACCTGTTGCAATCTTTATACGAAGAATTAATCCTATTGGCTTAGCCAGCTATGATGTCATAGTGACAGCACTTCTTTCCAGCATCAAAGAGAAAAACAAGCAGACGGTTTTATCGCAGTCGCTCGACTTCAGTCATGACAGACTGAACGCCCTCCTTAAACCTGCGGCCGGCGCACAAACTAACCCAGCGTGGTTTAGTTGATGATGTCAGCATGTCGTTTAATCACAACAAAATATAAAAACCATCTTTAGACAATTTTATTTGACCTTAAAAAACAAAAAGTGGAAGACATTAAATAATAATATAAAAGCTCAGCTTGACCTGAGTTCATAAACAAACACAGTGACTGATTTTACTGCCCATCATATGAGAACATGAGGCTAAAAAGTACTAAGAAGCTGCTAATTAAAGACCATAAGCTGACTAAAAGGAACAAATCATTTCTGCCTCAAGTGGCGATTACAGGAACTGCAGTTTTCTGTCAACCAAAGAGGCCACGCCCCTAATAATACAAACTTTGAAACTTTAATGAGTTTCTTAAAGTAATAGACACACCCAACCCGACCCCCAGTACAGCTGACAGTCGCCTCACAGCTGGGGAGCTGTTACTGACTGAGTTTGGGGACAGACTATCCAATCAGGAGCCCCCTTTAAGCTCAAAGGGTGGTCCCTTTCTTCTCCTCTCGTTGGCTCCGGTTGCTTTGAAGCTTGTTCATCATGCGTTGATCCACAGCCTCCGCTGGCTGTGATGAAACCGTCTCCTCCCAGTTTTTTTCTTTCTAGTTCAGCAGAAGCCACTGCCACACACACACACACACACACACACACACACACACGTTTTCATATCTTAGTGAGGACATCTAATTGACATAATGCTAACCATCAGAAATGAATGCCTAACTGTGACCCTGACACTAAACACCACCTTTAAACTCGGGGACGGGCACTTTGTCCCCATAAAGGCTGTTGACCTCCACAAGTATAGTTACATGCTGGTTTTGTCCTCACAAAGATGTCTAAACAGGTGTACACACACACACACTTCTGAGAGATGTTTGCAGTGCAGGCTGAGCTCTGACGGCTCTGGTTCCTCCAATCAGCGTCTGCGAGTGTTGCTTAGTGACCAAATGATGTGCAGCTATTTTTTAACCTACATAAAGAAAGTGGCATGTTTGTTATTAATGGAGTCTAACTAAAAATGAAATGATAGATCCTGAATGTTGACGAGAACACGGCGGGCGAGTTCAGCTCTTCCGTACGTGTGACGTCATCACTCTTTGTTAAATATATGTAATGAAACATCCACCAGCTGCACTGAATATCAGCATGTTTCACAGCTGTAGGTGGTTAAACCCGCGCGGGCTGGACTCAGGACCGGACGTAACGGTGGTATACAAATCATTTTTAATGTGTTGGTAAATCAAGGCCAGCAGGTCTGAAAAGGAGAGGGGATTTCCTCCCTCCACGAGGTGCAATCACAAAGTTCTGCAACAAATAAAAATCAAACGTGTTTCTGGATTCGTACGATGACTACGTACGATGGTGATGACTCTGTCTTAAACCACAACTCAGAGACCAAACGCAGCATCCCTGTCGCTGTGTGCTAGCACAGCGTGCCAGCCGCTGACTGTTGCATTGAAGAAAAGTTGATTTGTGTTTGTTTCACAGCTTAGAGCGCCAGAGGCCTGAGGGTCAGACTTCAGAGCAGGACGTCCAATGAGCAGAGGTGGGCGTGGTTAGACAGCGCCTCGATGCGGTCACAGGTGGGCGTGGGAACATAGACCCGGTGATAACTCGGGAGCTTCACGCTTGCCGACAGGTGCATCAGGTCCCCTCCACCCGTGTCCGCTGAGAGCCGCCACCTGAGACTCGGACGGGTTTGATTTTTGTTGTTGGAAAACTTGTGATTGCAGCTCGTTCACATCAGCAACACGAGCTCGTCATTAAATCAGGACTTTATGAAGCTGCTGCTCGTCTGCTGTTAGCGTCCATCAGAGTCTTTTTACTGATCTTCAGTTTCACATAGTTTGAACTGAGCTCGCTGGGCTCTGGGAGGTTTCTGACTAATTTTTGCAAAACAGTCTTTTATTCTTAAAGCTTTAAGGCCTTCTTCCTTTAATAAAGTAACAATAATAATAATAATTCTAAGCATGTAAAAACGAGGCGTTCGCGTCTCAGCTCGTTCGTTCCTTCAAGTCCGAGTTCAGTAGCTCCGCCCTGCGTGAGGTTTAAGCTCAGATCACTCTCACTGCATCAGTTTTAAAAAGAAATCACCACCGCCACTTCCTGCATCACCCGCCATCACGTCTGCCTCGCTGCTTCCTGTATCTGTGGATCAATAAAATAAAAGACTGAGGATAAAACAGATGGAGAAGTGAGACGTGTCAGAGCGAGCATCGGTCACTTTATGATTTCCTCTTTTCTTTCTTTAACTTTTCTTTTGTCTGGATGATTCTGACGCCGTTCACCCAGACGCGCTCTGATTGGTTTGTGTAGTTAGAAACAGGAAGTGATTGCTGTGACGACACATGATTGTTCCATGTTTTTCTTTTTTGTACATTGAAGTGTTTTTTCTGTTTTTCTTGAGTTCTTTAGACTCGCAGGGCGGCTTCAGCGCCCGTCAGCGTCTCTGCTCGTTCACCTGCTGCGTGCGTGATGTCAGGATGATGATGTCATATGTTATTCTAGCTTTCTTTGAAACACGCTGGTAGTTACGGGTTTGAGTTTCTCTTCTTTGGACTCGTGTTTCTCACCTCACGGCGAGCAGAACGACCTGAAGAATTACAATAACCCAAAAAACTATTTAACATATTTTTATCCTTGTTTTTCTTTGGACTCATTATGAGAGTCAGACGCATGTTGGGAATTGTACCTCCGGCAGTTTGAGAAATACGAGCCCAGAGGTCAGAGGTCAGACTCGCTGACGAGCAGCCGCCCTGCTGCTGTACATACTGAACCACTGAATGACTTCATGCTAGTTGCTGTTGTTTTCTTCTGTGGATGCAGCTGCTGTAACAGATGAATGGTGACGTGAGTGATTAACCAGGAGTTACAATAAAGAGCATTTCTATTTGGAGAAAAAACTCTGCTTCACTGGCTTCACGTCGTCTTTGCACTGCAAACGTTTCTTTAAGACAAAAACATCTGAGTGTGTTAAACGAGCAGCGAGTCAGCCGCACTTGATTAGCGTGCCAGGTAAGCACTATTTAACTGGTAGGCAGTCCAGTAGAGCCCAGTAGAGTGTGAAAACAGATGGGACAAGATGCATGTCGTGCCTTTTGTGTACTTGACTCCTCTCCTTGTGTCCTCGTCTCTCCCACCAAAGATGCAGAGGAGGAGCCTCATTTGAACGCGATGCCAGTTAAATAGACGTTTGGCACAACTGGATCATAAACGAGCACTGGGAGAGTGGCTCGCTTCACAAAGGAAGATGAAAGTACAATATTAGAGAAGTACAAAGAGTTTAATCACATAAATGAGAGTGAGAGCAGCACAGCTGCTGCAGAGGTCGTGTGTGGGAGGAAATATCAGCTTACAGACGGTCTCAGTAACTCAGTGAAATAACAAGTGTGCTCCTGTTGCTCCGAGATTGAAAGGATTTCCTAAATCACATGTACATAAAAAATACTGTTCTACCATCAGAAGAAGAGATAATTACACTCTGTCGATATGCCACAAAAGTGTTCCTGTGACTTTTTGTACAAACAAATGATTTTACAGGTCAGTGTGGACGTTCACCTGAGAACAGCAAAGACGTGTTGTGGTTATAGACAGGAAGCCGTTATTACACTGTGCTGCTCAGTACATGCTGAAAACTGTTATTTAATTAAACCATAAAATAAATGTGCTATTAAAAAATTAAAACATCAGTGTGACCTTAAAAACTATCGCTGGATAATAAAACACATTCATACACTGAGTGGAAACGATCCACACGAAACCATAAAAGTACAAAAGTAAATTCAGACATTTGGATGTGAAAATATTTCTTTGTAGCGACGATTTTAGCGCCCCCTCTGGTCACAAGTGGTCACTGTTCATTGCTGTGGTTTTTATTCTACTTGAAGCTGAGTTTTGGTGCCTGTCTCTTTAAGGCCCCCCTCCCTAAACGCCCACTTTCATCTGATTAGCCGTTTCTGGAAGCCTGTGGAGGGGCAGCTTATTGCATCTACGTGTCTTCCCTTTTTTTTGATACGGAGGGTTTGTAAATTTACTAAAAAATAGTAAATAAGCATGAACACAGTATTATTAGCTAGCTGTTAGGTTTTTTGTAGCTTTTTAGCTTTACTAAAAAATATCACTTCCTGTTGTTTTTTTTTTTTTTTTAATGTAATGGTTTGGTTGGTTTAATGATCCAGGAACTGGCCTCCCAGCCCAGTGTTCATTCAGTGGTGCTGGTTTCAGTCATTATGCAAATGTCTTGTTTATAAGGTAGAAACCTGCAGTCAGCTGAGACTGAAGGAGTCACCTGATGATGACGAAACGTTTCTCCCACTGAAAACGTCCAGATGAACAGAATCAACCTTTTGGGGCTTTAAATGTAAACTTTTGAAATGGACGTCAAACAGTGAAATTAGTGACAGAGGTTTCCCTGAATTCTGTTCATCAGCTGCTGTTTATTGAAACTTTCACAGCTCAGTAAGTCTCTGTTTAGCATGTTAGCTAGCTAAAATACCAACATTAGCACTGAACACAGTATTATTATCTAGCTGTTAGCTTTTCAGTTTAATTTAAAAAGATTATTTCCTGTTGTTGGTTGGAAATGTAAACTTTTAAAATGGGCACGAACGAGAGATCAGCTAAGAGATCGACAGCAGCGAACGCAGCACTCATGACCAGCTTCATGTCGGGCAATAAGGTTTTTCTTGGTTTTTTTTATTATGTTAGACGTGTTAAAATCCTTTGGCACACTCTCCCTGCACCATCTCTGAATAAAATATGATAGCTAGAAAAAAAAACCCCAAAAAAACCAGTCCACACTAGTTGATGGGATGTGATATTAGCCGCGCAGCCGGTGTCAAGCAGCTGCTTTAGTTTCCCATTCCTAAAAGAATAATGAGAAATAGTGAAATTAGTGACAAAGGTTCCTCTGAATTGCTGCTGTTTTCTGCTGTTTATTAAAAATTTCACAGCTCAGTAATTCAATCTCTGTTTAACATGTTAGCTAAAATGCTACATTAACACTAAATACACTATTATTATTATTTAGCTGTTAGCATTTTTAGCTAATCAATTATTAAATACTATCAGTGACACATTCTAGACCTTGTAGTACCATATCACCCTATTAGAGCACTTCGCTCTCGCTCTGCAGGCCTACTTGTTGTTCCTAGAGTATTTAAAAGTAGAATGGGAGGCAGAGCCTTCAGTTTTCAGGCCCCTCTTCTGTGGAACCAGCTTCCAGTTTGGATTCAGGAGACAGACACTATCTCTACTTTCAAGATTAGGCTTCAAACTTTCCTTTTTGCTAAAGCATATAGTTAGGGCTGGACCAGGTGACCCTGAATCCTCCTGTTAAAAGGGAGGTTTTCCTCCATACAGTCATCGCGCTGCTCACTCGATGACTGTGTGATTGTTGGGGTTTTCTCTCTAATATTGTAGAGTTTTACTTTGCACCCCGAGGTGAATGTTGTGAATTGGTGCTAAGTAAATAAGCCTGAATTGTAAAATAAGTTATACATTTGATGGCTGGATACATGAGGATAAAGAGAAATGAGGCTGATGTCACTGTAACCTGATCAGTGTGAATAACTTTGAATCTTTGAATATGAAGCTTCAGTAGCATTTTGTGCCGGGGCCGTCTGTGTTTGTGCGACTCTCACCTTCCTCCTCTGGAAAACTTTTCCGTGTTCAATGAACAGCGCCGAAGGAGCCCGTCTCAGGGAGTTTTTAGCTGAGGCCGTCCGTCGCAGCAGAGGGTTCAGGATGCCAGCCTGGACCAGCAGAGACCAGGTTCAGAGCAGATATATTATCAACGCTCAACGGCCTCTCACAGGTCGTTCATGCACCCTCCCCCATCCACACATGTCCAGGTTCAATTTTCCTACCTGAGCGCGCTCACTGTAGATGGCCAGGGACTGTCTGAAGGAGGTGCGCTTGTTTTGCTTTGTGCTGGATGCCAAGTTGATCTCTGACCCCGCCCTCAGCGGCACTACCTTCCTGTCGGTCAGCTCGAGCTTCTGAATGCTTCGCTGCACTTCGGCCGACTTCCTGTCTGAAACGCAGAGCATCCAACCGGTCCTCCATCAGCTCCACCCAGTACTCCATCTACACGTTACACTGTTTATCCAGGACTGCTCACTAACAGCTGATGATAGGAGCTTATCAGTGATTTTGGCCAGCTGTTGGTCCATAGCGTTTACCTCTTATGGTCTTATGTTCACATTAAATCCAAACTTTACACTTTAGATACGATCAGATCTGATTTTGAAAGTAGAGCAGTCGCCCCCTGCTGGACACTAGAAAGCGTGCAGGTTTAAGGCATCTCAGTTTTCAGACACTGGTTCATGCACACGGCTGTTATTGTGCTTCATGTTGACCATTTCTGAATCAGCATCGCCAGGTTTTTAAGAAACTTTCAATTTTCATAATAAAAGCCCAGCAAACCTAATATAGGGAAAGTCTTTTATTTTGAAGTTGAGCATCATAAGGACTCACTGTGGCCGCTGAGGACGGTGTTGCTGTAGGTCACTGAGCCTTTGGACGACACCGAGCTGCAGCGAATCGAACCCTGAGAGCCGTGGAGCTGAAAGACGACATACAGGCGACGTTACGAGTTACTCCAAATAAGATTGTTTATCTTATTCTATTCTGTTGTTTTTCTCTTAATTTTTTACTGCTCTTCGACTTTCTGCTGTGACCAAAAATTTCCCACATGTGGGACTATTAAAGGATCATCTGATCTTATCTTAAATCCGAATGTTGTGCGGTGCAGCCCGTACCATGTGCCCCAGGACGGAGGTGTTGGAGTAGATGGGCTGGTCTCGGCCCGGCTCGCTCAGGTGGAAGGGGTCGTCCATGTAGGTGTTGGAGGAGGGAAACCTGCGAGTCTGCAGCCCACTGAGGACGAGAGGAAGCAAAATCAGCCCTCAACTCAGAGCCGAGATAAAGCTTTATCGGAGTTAGCGACGCTGCGCTGGTGAAATATGAACATCACGCCCACAGAATCAGGACTGCGTGTAAAAATAAGAGACGATTCAAAGGGCCTGACAGGTGCTGACAGCTCAGAGATACGAATGAGCACTTGTATTCAAAAAATCTTCAAATGAATAAAATGATTGTCGCGATTGTGTATTTGACAGCCCTGATTTACCTGAATGTGACATTCAGTGTTTTTATTATAATAAATGTTATTATGATTGATCCATAAACGTGGGGTTGGGGTTGCAGTACCACATGTGACCACTAGGACGAGCTGGTGTTTCAGCCTGAGATGATGCACCTCGTACCTGAGAGTTACACCTGAGTGCTCCTGTGTTTTGTTGTCATGGTGACAGTAATACGCAGCGCCGTCCTCCAGCAGCTTCAACCACCGCTGCTTCTCCTCTGAGCTGCTCACCTGAAGGAAGGAAGGAAGGAAGGAAGGAAGGAAGGAAGGAAGGAAGGAAGGAAGGAAGGAGGACACGTTATTGAGTAACAAGTTGAAGTGAATGAATTCAAACTCCCTGTTCCACCAGCTCACCTCCAGCACCGCCATCTGGTCATCGAGCATGCTCAGTGTGATCCTGTAGCAGTGCTTGGTGTCGGGTTTGACCTCACAGCCTCTGAGCTGGACGGTGTACTGAGGCGAGCGCTCCCCCTGCACCACCTCCTCCTCCTCTCCGAACATGTTGAGGACCCCGGCCTCCACCCGACACAGTAAACTCTGCCACTGGCAGTTCATCAGTACGTTCAGGAAACCTGCCGCAGGCAAACGCCACAGCTCAGACCTCGCGTCATGTGACCTCGCTAACAGACAGGCGATGTCACAGAGGCTACATCCATCTTTGATGTACAGTTAGTTTCCATGCACATTTTTAATTCGTATATAAAAGACACAAAAACTCTCTTCAATGATCGAATCGTGCAGTTTACTGTGCTGCTCTGTCCGTACCTTTGTTCTTGCTGAGGCTGCAGCGAGCTGAAGCTTCCTCCTCGTCAGAGTCAGACTGGACTATACTGGACTGAAGGAAGAGACACGGCATTAGCAGGAAGTGCAGGTATGACCACGGCTGCTCGTTTCATGGTCACAGCTACGTTTGCTTTCTCACAGAGCAGGTTCGAGATTATTCACGCCAGGAGGCAGTGACGATCCGAGGCTGTTTGGCGCCCAGGCGAACACTCCCTCTGCAGATGTTGTCCAAGATAAGGACAATCGTGGATAACACCTCCCACCCACTCCATGATGTACTGGCTAGTGACAGGAGCACGCTCAGTGAGAGACTGAGATTACCCACAATGCACCACTGAACAACACAGGAATCATTCCTGCCTGTGGCTCCCTGTACAACTCCTCCACCTAACACACTGTGAACACTGCAACAGTTACAACCTTTTTACACACGCTCTTTTCTACTCTGGAATATTCTTGTCAATTTTCTTTATATTTATTTATCATCACCTCTGTTAGTCCTTGATATTTATAACTGAGTGATCTGTTTATATTAGTGCTGTTTCTTAAATGTGTAAAATCTGTAACATAATGTATTGTTTGGAGTTTAGTCTGTTACTGTTACTATTTTTACCATTTCTTCTTGGAGAAACTGTAACGCACATAATTTCCTTTAATCAATAAAGTATTCTGATTCTGATTGGTTCAGGATGAGCTGCCATCATCCAATCACACATCTGCTTACCTGCATCTTTTGCTCGTTTCTCTTCTTTTCTCTTTTTTCTAAACTGAGCACCCGATGACTTTGAACTTTTCTTGTCCATCTTGGTTTTAATTTTGCACTCCAGTATGAACACAAATCCACCAACCCAAGGATCGCCACAACATAACCTAACACACCTACACCTTAGTTCACAGATTCACTTTGTCTCTGGTTTATTTCTGGGATTTCACACAACCCAGGATTCAAATCATGAATCCATGATGGGCTTGGATTTACAGCATTATAAATGAAATGTGCTCTATTTGGAAGCAGCAGGCCCCTCCCCTTTCGACGGGCTGTGTGTGAGACTTTAAATCATCAAACTGTAAATTATAAATTTTAAATTGTTATTGATCCTTTACCCCGAGTCCTAAAGTGTATATTTATTTTCTTACTCTTCTTATTTTTATTGTTTGTTTACTTGCACTGCTGTAACTGTATGGCGTTATTTTTGTGCCACTATTCTGAGCGCACGTAAAAAAAAGTTTGCAGGTGCAAGTGTTGCATTTTGAGGAGAAATTTATTTTGAGCAAAGAAAAGCTGAATGTGAGTGAACAAAGTTCATTGCTGCATGCAAAAACTGTATTTCAGTGTTTGCTATTATCCACACACACACACACACCAGCAGCCCCTCTCGCTCAGTTTTTGCACTTGCACTTGCGCTTGTGTTGCTCGCGCTCTCAACATTTCTGCCCGTGCACGCTCAACTCTTTTTCTACACCGTTATATTTGTGCCACAAAACCAGCCAATCACAGACTTGGATGCAAAAAAATCTGATTGGCTGTTTTGGTCTCCAATCAGCTCGAAATGACGAAATGGAATATCCCAAAATGCATTTCGTCCAAAACCCAAATAAGGCAGTGGCGGAGTTTGAAATATTACTCTTTCTGGGTCACAAAATAAACTTTTAAGATATTTTCATGCGAGAATGTTTCTGTGTGAACTTCAAATACCTGCTCAATTTATCAAGACATCACATATTTGCATAAGTGCTCTAACGTTTTTGGAGATGTTGAGAGCGCGAGTTACGTTGAAACCAAGCACACCATTGTTTTTCTTGTGACATTACCAATAAGTCTGATGTGTCACATGGTCCTCTTCCTATTGAAAAAACAAAAGTTGTATCCAAGATGGCCGACTTCTAAATGGCCACCATGGTCACCGCCCATCTTGAGGAGTTTGCCCCCTCACATATACTAATGTGCCACAAACAGGACTTTAATATCACCAACCATTCCCATGGTATCACAGTTTATCCATATAAATGACCCACCCTGTATACAGCACACTTCAAATATATATCTTGAGTCTTGTCAAATCCAGAAATACTCAGATGATACTGCCATTGTAACGTCTTTCAGGAATGGACAGGAATCTAAAGACTGGGACCTTTTCTTGCCTTGAGCAACTGGATTCAGAAAATTATCTGCAGGCTTTTCAATTCTCATACAAATAGCAGATGAGCTAGGAATTTTTCTCTGTGATCAGAAAAATTATTGTTATTATTATTTTTGTTCGTAAGGCATTGTCTGGCGGATGATCTGATATCGTCGTGTTGGTATTGTTCCAGGTTCAACATTGCAAGTGACCAATCACATTGTTGTGACGTTATTCTTTGGCGCGCCGAGCCATTCGTGCATTTATGAAATTCCAATGTTGCAAGGACAATATCAATTCTGCTTAGCGTTTATTAAAGGGTTAGGGTCCGTTGATTGGCGGACAGAGGCGGTTTCAAGCAGCTTAAGTACAGTTTTTTGTTTTACGGCAGTTTTTCCCGAAGTCGCAAAAGTATGACGTCACCACATTCTGATTGGTCACTTGCAATGTTGATCCTGGAACAACATTTAGTATGTTGATCTGGGAACAACACCAACACGACGATATCAGATCGTGCTTGTCTGGCACCTCTGGTGTTTTATAAAACTGCTCCCGACTCCACTGTTAGATTATATGTTATGATATGTGTTGGCATGAACTGGAATTAATGGGTGGAAGCTGGAACTTTCCATTTAATGCCATTCTGAAGTTATGGAAAGAGAAGCTCCTATAAACAAAGTCAAAGGGCTTTTACTCTGAAATGCAAAATGAGATTGATTTGAGATTGAGATGTTACTGCTGTCGAGGTTGTCTATGGTTTGCATGAACTCCAATTACTTAGTGGAAACAGTAATTGTCCTGTTAACAGCATCCGCGTTTAGTTATAAAAAGTACCTCATAAACAATTATAATCAAGATATTGACGTGATAAAACTGTGGGGTTGTATACTGTCAATGTAGAGTGAAATGATCTCGTGGAAACAGCAACTTTGCTTTTAAGGGTTTAAGGGATTCTGAAGTCAGTGAAAGAGTGGGTCATACATGGGCAATTTCAACGGGCCGTTACTTTGAAAGGCAAAATCAAGGCGACTTGAAATTGACTTGGTATCCCCGTGATAGTGTACACTGTCGATCTAGAGTGAAATTATCCTGTGGAAACAGCAATTTTCATTTTTAAAACATTCTGAAGTAATTGAAAGACTATATCACATATGGGCAAATTCGACGGGCCATTAATTTGAAAGGCAAAATCAGAGCAACTTGAAGTTTACATGGTTTTACTGTCGGGGTTGGATACTGTTGATCTAAAGTGGCATTATCCTGTGGAAACAGCAATTTTCCTTTTTAGAGCATTTTGAAATTGTTAAAAGAGTATATCTTTTATGGTCAATTTGAAAAGTCTTTTATACTGGAAAGCAAAATCAGCCTGACTTGAAATTGATATGGTATCACTGTGGGGTTGGATACTATTGATCTAACATGGATTCATCCTGTGGAAACAGCAAATTTCAATTTAAGAGCATTTTGAAATAGTTAAAAGAGTAGGTCATATATGAGCAATTTGAAAAGGCTTTTATTTTGGAAGGCAAACACACAGTGACTTGATATTGATATGGTATCACTATGAATTTTTTATTCTG